GACGACTTAGTTGAAAGTCGCCTAGTATAGTTATTCTTGAAAATAATTTAAAAATTTTGTAAAAAAATATTTAGATAAGTGAAAAAATGAAATCATGTAATTAACACCAGTTTTAAGAGATATAAATTAAGATAGTATAAAATTTAATTGTTTTTAACATAGATGAGTGAAAGTAGTGAGTCATGATATTCTTTGGTTTAGGGTTTGCCAACATATGTTGTAGTATTGTATGTGTTTCTTAGGGTTAGATTTTCGAAAGCATAATTTTTTTTGAAAAATTTAAAATTTACCTAATGTGTTTATTTCTGTGTATAGTAAACACTATTTAAGTATAATTTGATTTTATAACGTGGTTAGTTAATTAATTTAGTCAATTTAGTTTAGGGTTTAGGGTCTGGACGACTTAATATTAAGTCGTCTGGTAAATATATTTAAGGCAGACGACTTAGTCGGATATATAGTATCAACAGACGACTTAATTATAAGTCGTCCAAACCGGACCAAACCTTTGATTTTACCAAATTACTTTTAAACCTAACCAGATTTTTTACCGGACATATATAAGATTTTTTTTACTCACTTTTTCGCGAAATTCAGAAAACCGTAACGCCGTTTCTCTTAAAGGTGATTTCAAAGGCGATTTCCGTCAAATCTCTCTAATACATCGTTATCTCTGCCTTACCATCGTTGTTATCACCACCGTTCTCACCGCCTCTTTCTATATTTCCGATCTGCGAGGAAACCCTAGCACCGTCTTTCTGTAAACCCTAGCGTCGTTTCTCTTAGAGGCGTTTCGTTGAGATATGCCGCTGGTAAGTTATATCTAAAGAAGAACATAAAAGATCGTTCTCACCGTCGTTCTCATCGCGTTTTTTCACGTTTATTTTTGCAGTTCTATAACCGCTATGTCGAAGGCGACTATATCTTCTCTGAATGTTCAGGTCAGCTTTCAAATGTTCTACTGGAAGTCTTGGTATTTACTTTACTCCAGAAGCAGACGACTTATGATTAAGTCGTTTGGAAAGTCTTCCAACTGGACGACTTAAAAATAAGTCGTCTGAAAAGTCTCTCAGCTGGATGACTTAGTAGAGGACTTATCATTAAGTCGTCCGAGAAGACTACCCAGACGACTTAGTGATAAATCCTCTACTAAGTCATCCAGCTGAGAGACTTTTCAGACAACTTAATTTTAAGTCGTCTGCTAAGTCGTCCAGTTGGAAGACTTTCCAGACGACTTAATCATAAATCGTCTGGAAAGTCTTCCAGACTTAATTATAAGTCATCTGGATGGTTGTGTGTTTGAGATGGTTGTCTTTGATTTTTTGCAGAAAAAATGGATATTCCAGAACTCCCCCGTAGGATACATACACTAGGGAAAGAGTCTGACACAGTGCATAGCATTTCGTATCATCCGTGTACGAGGTTGTATACTGCTCTAAGGAATGCTCTTAATGATGACGAATATGAAGAGCTGAAAGAGTCTAAGTTGGGAGTTTTCATCAAGTTCCAAGAGCTGGAATTTGAATGGGCTTCAAGGCTGGTTCACTACATGCTCGGTTTCCAGCTCGACATAAAGAAGAAGTATCACTACAAGAAAATACAAGTTTTACTAGGACAGCTTTGCCTCGTAATTTCCTAGTAAATGACCATTTACTAGGAAATTACGAGAAAACGCGCTTTGTCGTGAATCGTTCATCGTAAAGCTTTTTTCCTCGTAATTTCCTAGTAAATTTACGAGGAAAAATTTCCTCGTAAACGCGTGGAGACACATTTCCTCGTAAAGTCGTAGTAACCACTTTCCTCGTAGTTTCCTAGTAATACTTTACTAGGAATTTACTTCGAAATGTTTTTCCACTTTCCTCGTAATTTCCTAGTAATGCTTTACTAGGAATTTACTTCGAAATATTTTTCCCTATTAAAAAAAATTAATTAAAATAAATATAATAATATATTTTTAAAAAATTAAAGAATCCAAATTATAAATAAAAAAGAAATAACAAAATATTTTAGAAATAAATAAATATTTAAGTTTTAAATTAATATACAATTAAAAAGAAAAGAAAAACTAAACTACGAACATCCTCGTTAAATTGACGAATGAAGTCGTCATCCCGGCTCGACAACTAGTATCATTGATATACTAGTATCATTAAAAAAAAACAGTTAAAAAAACTAAACCAACCTAATCTAAATTTCCTAAACTAACCACCTAATCTAAATTCCCTAAACTAACCACCTAATCTAAATTCCCTAATCTAATCACTTAACTAGGAATTAGATATTACCTTAAGAGGATTTTGAGAGAAGATTGCTACAAATGAGAGAAATCGGATGACTCGACTTATATAGGGAATTTGGTTTCCTCGTAAGGTCCTCGTAATTTTACGAGGAAATAGCTAGTTCCGCGTTTAGGGTTACGAGTACTTTACGAGGAAATCGCGAGTCCCGCGTTTAGGTTTCCTCGTAAAGTCCTAGTAATTCTGTTACTAGGACTTACGTGGAAACATTTTACTAGGAATTTACTAGGAAACAGTGACTCCCGTGTTTTCGTTTACTAGGGTTTTACGAGAAAAAGGTTTGTAAATCCCTAAACTCGAAACCCCAAACACCAAACCACAACTTCCTTAACTTATAACCTCTTCTACACCTAAACCCCAAATTCTCAAAATTAAACAACCTAATATAAATTCCCTAAACTAACCACCTAATCTAAATTCCCTAAACCTTAAACCCTAAACCTAAACCAACTTCCATAACTTATACCTCTACATCTTCCTAAACCCCAAATCACAAATTAAAAAAAAAAAAACTAAAAGAAGTATACAATCATCGGAACGGTTTTTATCAACCCCGTATAGCTTTCCTCGAACTATCTACCTGAGGAAAAGCCCCAAACTATTTCTTTGAGGAAAAGCTATGCCGAGTTGATAAGAAACTATTCTGTTGACTGTGAACTCCTTTCAGTTATGAATTGAGTGTTTTCTATTTGTTTGGTGTGTTTGAAATGAATAACAAATGGTGGTATTTATAGAAATTTTCTTCTGAACATTTACTAGGAAATTGTGAGGAAAGTTACAGTCAAAACACGTTTTAGATTTAAAATAGATATTTTCTAACCAGTTCCTCCCTAATTAGAAGTAAAAGAACATTTCCTCCTAATTTCGTAGTAATGTTTTACTAGGACTTTACGAGGAAAAGTTTTACTACGAAATTACGAGGAAAAGAATATTTCCTCTTAATTTCGTAGTAATTTTTTACTAGGACTTTACGAGGAAAAGTTTTACTACGAAATTATGAGGAGATGTTATTTTGCCACGTAATTTTACTACGGTCTTACGAGGAAACAGTTTTCTCGTATGTTTACGAGGAATTTACGAGGATTCTTGTTTTCCTCGTAAAACCGAAGTAATCTCGTAGTAAATGTACGAGGAAATATTTTCTTAGTAAAATTTCCTAGTAAATGCCGAGTTTTCTTGTAGTGTATGAGCTGTGGAGACTTGCTGGTCCACAACCTTTGAGGTTTTCACTGTTGGAGTTTGAATACCTCACTGGTCTAAACTGCGATTACATAGAGGACCTTAAGAGATCAAATTGCTCTGTTACAAAGGAGTAGGTTGATTTCTGAGAGTTATTGAGAGTTAATGTCGAAGCTGGGCCAACTACTGATCAGATAATAGCAGCATTTGAGAGATGCGAAAGGTGGTCTCCGGATGATCGCAAACGGCTCGGATACTAAAAAGTTAATACCTTTAGTTAATAAATATTAGCACCTATGATGTTAGCATATCAAACTTACCTATTCTAAGACCTTTTTTTGCGCTTGCCTATTCTAATACATTTGTGTGACATATTTTTTTTTTTACAAATGTGAAAACTAATTAAGAAAATTAAATAAATAACTATAAATTTTATGATTTTGTTTTTCTTTGTCATCAACATAAAAACAGATTCATACTGACTATGTGAACTATATCGGTAATTCTGCATTTATATGAACAACAAAAGACGGTTGCGTCTTAACACTCTATCTAAACTATCCGTTTTCAAAATTTATGATTTAGTAAAATATGTTATTATTCGTCTCATACGAAGAAATCTAAACACAATATATATGATATAATTTTACTTTATATATATTTAAATTATTTTATTTTATTTTTATAATATTTTAAGTTAAATATTTTTGTTTTCAGTCAAAATTATTTCTGGATCTGCCACTGCATATAGTCCTGTAAAAAACTAAATACATCGGGACTGTATGGATTAATGAGTTGGTCCGCAAGCTCTTTGGAGTAATAATACCTTCACCGATCTCTATTTTATTACTGAACAAGTGATGAAGAAGCTCAAGACAATCTTGTATTATGCGTATTGTGGAGAGGCATAACTACAGACTACTCTCAAATTTCATGGGCTAAAAACTAGGAGAATATCTTAGATTTACTAGTTAATATATTTTGAAAACGTTAAAATGAATTAAATGGTAGTATTTCTTTTAAAAACACTTATGCTAAGACTTAAATCTTTTGTAAAGAGCTTCTACAATTTGTTGTGTAAGGAGAACGGGCTTGGAAAGGAGGAATGGAAGGCAACCGGAAGACCCTTCACAGTTCATACATATTCGATATTACTGATAAGAGATCTCCACCATTGCAAGATCTTGTCTATAATTATTTCCAATTATTATAACATGATTGACGATATTAGAAGCCAAATCAAATTTAATCATTTGGATTCGAAGGCAAGGAACACATTTACTGGATTAACAAGAAACAGAAAGGAATAATTTTCTATTTTTAAACACTTACTAATATAATACAACTAACTTAGACTTGATACATGTGACTTATCTGGTGACTGTTTCCGCAATTAATATTCGAATCTTCTCACTCGCTATTGTATTTAACCTAAGATAATACCAATAAATAAATAAAAAACTATATATTATAATAATACGATTACTAACTATTATGATATTAATAAGCTTCTTCACGAGGAATGCCCCCAAAAAAAGGAAAGAAAGACGATTGATTCATCTGATTCCCTTCGCTTTCCGCAGAGAAACACAATGTCGTGAAAAAAAGCTCGATCCTTTCTTTTAGGGTCTCACCAACAACGAAGAGATCTCTCGTCTCTCTCGCAAAAACAATGTCTCGCCAAGGTCTAGAGATTAAGGTCGTGCCGCCGACGAACAACAATGTCTCCTCCGCCGCGGGAAGAGACTCTCCGGGGAGGAGGAGGAGGGGGGAACGCACTTCTTTCGCGGAGTTTAGGCCTTTCAAGCTTTGGTTTCCGTGGCTGGTTCCAGCAATCGTGGTGGCTAACATTGCTCTCTTCGCCATCTCGATGTTCATCAACGATTGCCCTAAGAACTCGGCTAAGTGCTCCGCTAGGTTTCTCGGCAGATTCGCGTTTCAGCCTATGAAGGAGAATCCTCTTCTGGGTCCTTCTTCTACTACGTGGGTACCCTTAAAGTTTTAATCTTTTTGACTTTTGGGATTTTCAGAGAATCTGAAAATTGCATTTTTGTAATTTTAGGACAGTCTTGTGGAAAGAATGTTTTTTTTTTTTTTTGAGTAGTTACTTAGTGGTGTAAGTGTTTTCGGTTCTGATGTTAATGATGTGTTTATCTTCTATAATAATGTCTTGTTTGTTGACCTTTGCCATTGAGGGAATTTAATAAATGGTTGACTTGTCTTAGTGGACGAATGTTTTTTTTGGAAATGGAGACTGTGTAGTTATTTAGTGGTGTAAATGTTTTTTGGTTTTGATGTTAAAAGTTTTGATGTGTTGTTTTCATGTTAGATTGGAGAAGATGGGAGCTTTAGATGTACCAATGGTGGTGGATAAGCACCAGGTGTGGCGCTTGTTCACTTGTATATGGCTACATGCTGGTGTTTTCCATGTCCTTGCCAACATGTTGAGTCTTATCTTCATCGGTATTCGACTCGAGCAAGAGTTTGGATTCGGTATGGATCTTGAGACTAGTTGCCTTTCTCCATTTATTAAGTATGGGTCTTGAGTTGATCTTGATCATATGTGCCAAAATGTGCATTGTTATTCCTTAAGACTAGTCTTCTAATGATTTTTTTTTTTTTCTAACTGAGAGTTCTGAAATTTTCATCCTGTTTTGATTTTGGACAGTACGCATTGGATTGCTGTATATGATTTCTGGATTTGGTGGGAGTTTGTTATCATCTCTCTTTAACCGGGATGGTATATCCGTTGGCGCCTCTGGTGCATTATTCGGTTTGCTTGGTGCTATGCTTTCAGAGCTTCTCACTAACTGGACTATCTACGCAAATAAGGTGCCAAAAAGATGATCCAAAACTTTTAGCTTTTCGTGAGTGATTATGTTGTGACTAAAATGAATTTCATATCTCCAATTTGCAGTTTGCAGCTCTTTTGACTCTCATCTTCATCATAGCCATTAATCTAGCAGTAGGTATACTTCCACATGTAGACAACTTTGCCCATCTCGGAGGATTCACCTCCGGGTTTCTTCTAGGCTTTGTTTTCTTGATCCGTCCTCAGTATGGATATTTCAACCAGAGGAACAACCCTCGTGGCTATGCTGCACCTTCTGCTAAATCCAAACACAAGCCCTATCAATACGTTCTCTGGATCACCTCTTTATTGCTTTTGATAGCAGGGTATGCCTTCTTCTTCTTCTTCCTTTTAGCCACCATTACAGAAAATGAGTTTATGAAATGTTTTTGTTAGATATACTGTTGGGCTCATTGTGCTTCTTCGAGGGACGGATTTGAACAAGCATTGTTCTTGGTGCCATTATCTCAGTTGTATGCCTACGTCTCTATGGAACTGTAAATCTCAAAATGTCTACTGTCAGGTAAAATAACTCTTTTTCAACATTTTTTTGTTAAAGTTTATAAAAAAAAAATGCTAAGATTGATTGTGGAGTTGGGTAATATGGTGCAGTCGAGCCAGATTGGGAAGCAGATGAACTTGACGTGTGTAGCTAACGGTAGAACAGAGATGTATACCCTTGGTAACGAGAACCAGTCTCAGATTCAGCAGATGTGTTCCCAACTATGCAGCTGATACCACTAATTAATACTCTTTGTAGACAGTAGAGAAAGGGACAAACATTGTTCACTTAATTTGATTATTCTTGTTGATCATTATTGTCTGGTTCCACTTTCTTGTTTCATTGCTTATGTAAGAGACCATAATCAGATTATTTGATTTAGTAACAATGAAGCTGAGGGTAAAAGACAACTCTTGTTGCGGTGCAGACCAATGAACCTCGTCATCAACTTTGTTTTATATGTCAATGCATTGAATATAGTACGTGTGGGTAGACGCAGACTGTTCAGAAAAAAAAAAAAATCTGAAAAAATATCCTCCTTAAGTTAAGTTTGATAGTTGTGTCTTGTGTAGTTGTGTGTATTGGCATTCTCTTGCTTTGTTTTGTGGAGTGCAAGCTATATCTTCTCGGTTGTTGACATGTTCCATTATCACCTCTTTAACCACTATTCAAAATAGTATATTGACTGATATTTTTGTTTACATAAAGAACATTATCTCAGTGGGAAATAAAATAATTAAAAATTACTATTAGTTAAAAGAGAAAAGACATTAAAATCCTGAATTTTTAAATTAAAGCAAAAAAATCTTTCACTGAATGTTTGAGCAGAATTTTTTTCAATTTTCATATATTCTTATATTTTGTTGATTTGGCCTTTTAAAATCATCGAATAGTAAACTATTAAAGTCGATTAAAAAAATAAACATTTGTTAACTTTTTAAACGATTTTGTTTTAAAAATTTGACTAAAAAATGTTGCTTTGTTTTTATAAACATTTAAAATATCTCTTTCGCGATATCATAGTGAGGAAGATGAAGTATATTTAGGGTTCTAGTTTCGCAAAAGAGATATATTAAATATTTACAGAAGCAAAATAACATTATTTGATCAATGTTTAATTTTTAAAACAATATCATTTAGAGAGTTAACATACGTTTATGTTTTTATCGACTTTAACAGTTGATTACTCGGATTTTTTTAAATGGACGAATTAACAAAATATGAGAATTAACACTATCAATATTTAAAGTTGAGAAATTTTTTGTTCATAACATGAATTGGATTTTTTTTTGGATTTTTGAAAGTTTATGGTTTAATGGTTGGGTTCTCTTAGTTAAACGTTCATAGTTTTTAAGTGTCTTGCATGGTTAGTGCGAATATGATAATCCCACCACCATCTCACTTTTGTAGACAATATGGATTAACAATAACAAGCAAAGATATAATATTGGAGTGAAGTATTGTTTCGGTTTTTCTTCAATGTAAAAAGGATCACAACTTAGATTCGAAATGATCATCTCAAATGGATTTTTCTGATTCATAAAAAGAGGACATATAGTACAACTGAAGTGTCTTTTACTAAATAATTAAAAATTGTATCTTTCATCAATTTGTTCTTCTGTTTTGTTTATAATACATACGAAAAACAACACCTCTCCACTACTTACACAAACCATTTCCTCGAAGACAAAGCTTCCTTCCATATGATCTGAACCGGCGCATCTTAACCTCAACAGGTACGCTTGTAAACTTTGTTTCTTACTAAAAAAAAACAGAACTTATCTACTTGGGATTATTAAACATCACCACCGCTTTGTGATTAGGTTCTCTGTTTCCGTTTTGCTGTTTATTATCTTGATCAGGGAGAGTAAAAATATTCAACCTTTAGAAGGGTCCTCTCTAAAAGACTTTGAGGATTTAAGGATTTGAGGTTTCTTGTGGAACACTTCTTAGGGTTTGTTAGGGCTCTTGAGAAAAGTAATGGGTTCTTATTCTGCTGGCTTCCCTGGATCATTTGACAACTTTGATTTCAATTTTGGAGGAGGATTCTATGTGGATGATCAACCTTTGTTAGAAATCCCATCTCCCTTTCCTCCTCCTCCTCCTCTAGCTCCTCCTCATGCAGATCCATATTCACAACAGAATCTTGCTGCTGCTGATGCTGATTTCTCTGACTCTGTTCTGAAATACATAAGCCAAGTGCTTATGGAAGAAGACATGGAGGAGAAGCCTTGTATGTTCCACGACGCTTTGTCTCTTCAAGCAGCTGAGAAGTCTCTCTATGAAGCTCTCGGCGAGAAGTACCCTGATCATTCTCAGCCTCTGATGACTACTAGCCCTGTTCAGTTAGCTCATAGTCCTGACCCTTCTTCTTTTGCCTCAACCACTTCCTCTGATTGGAGTTTTGATTGTTTGGAGAACGATAGGCCTTCTTGGTTGCACACACCAATCCCAAACAACTTCGTTTTCAAGTCTACTTCCACTAGTTTCAAGCCCAAGTCCCCTGGTGGCAGTAACGTGGTTCTCAAGTCAAGTTTTACTGATGATTTGGTTTCTAATATGTTCAAAGATAGCGAGTTAGCGTTTCAGTTCAAGAGAGGTAAGGAGGAAGCTAGTAAGTTCCTTCCTAAGAGTTCTCAGTTGGTTATAGATGTAGAGAGTTACATCCCAGCAAATGATCCTAAGGAGCATAACTCTGCTCCTTACAGAAAGAAAAAACATTGGCGTGAAGATGAACACTTGGCGTCTGAAGAAAGAAGTAAGAAGCAATCAGCTGTTTACGTTGATGAAGCTGAACTATCTGAAATGTTTGATAAGATTCTGTTATTTGGCCGACCTAAGGAGCAACCTCTATGCATTCTTCACGATAATTTCATTAAAGAAACCTCCCAAGATTCATCATTAAGTTATAAACGCGACACAACACAACAGAAGCCAGCTGCTAGTGGCAACACCTATGTGAAAGAGACACCTGATTTAAGGACCCTTTTGGTTTCATGTGCACAAGCTGTGTCTGGTAATGACCGTAAAATGGCTGAAGATTTGTTGAGACAAGTTAGGCAACATTCATCATCTAACGGAGATGGCACAGAGAGGTTAGCTCATTACTTCGCAAACAGTCTTGAAGCACGCTTGGACGGGACAGGTACACAGGTCTACACCGCCTTGTCTTCCAAGAAAACATCAGCCTCCGACATGTTGAAAGCTTACAAGACATACATATCTGTCTGCCCTTTCAAGAAAACCGCAATCATATTCGCTAACCACAGCCTCATGCACTTGGTGCCTACCGATGCCAAAACCATCCACATCATAGACTTTGGGATATCTTATGGCTTCCAATGGCCTCCTCTGATTCATCGCCTTGCTTGGAGGCGTGGTGGACCGTGTAAGCTTCGGGTAACAGGTATAGAGCTGCCTCAACGAGGGTTTAGACCAGCAGAGGGAGTTGTTGAGACGGGTCATCGCTTGGCTAGGTATTGTCAGAGGTACAATGTTCCCTTTGAGTACAATGGTATTGCTCAGAGATGGGAAACAATCAAAGTGGATGACCTGAAGCTAAGAGAAGGCGAGTTTGTTGCTGTGAACTCTCTGTTCCGGTTTAGGAACCTCTTAGATGAGACTGTGGCAGTGCACAGCCCGAGAGATGCGGTTTTGAAGCTGATAAAGAAGATCAAACCAAATGTGTTCATCCCTGCGGTTCTCAGCGGTTGCTACAACGCGCCTTTCTTTGTAACGAGGTTTAGAGAGGTTCTGTTTCATTACTCTTCTCTCTTTGACATGTGTGACACCAATCTGGCTCAAGAAGATCCGATGAGAGTTATGTTTGAGAAGGAGTTTTATGGGAGGGAGATCATGAACGTGGTGGCCTGTGAGGGGAGTGAGAGAGTGGAGAGGCCAGAGAGTTATAAGCAGTGGCAGACGAGGGCGATGAGAGCCGGGTTTAGACAACTTCCACTTGAGAAGGAACTGGTTCAGAAACTGAAGTTGATGGTGGAAAGTGGATACAAAAGCAAAGAGTTTGATGTTGATCAAGATGGTAACTGGTTGCTTCAAGGCTGGAAAGGCAGGATTGTGTATGCTTCATGTACTTTGGTTCCTATGTAGACGTTTTGTGTTACATCTTTGTATAATTGGGTTTGTTGTCTCTATGTATGTCCACACATTGACATTCAGATTTGTATAATTGTACAGGTTCTATTTGTGTAATATTAGCAGGTTAGGATGATTATGAGAGAGAGATTGTATTACATTTCAATTATATATTTCTTAATCGAATAGACCATAACAATACAATGTTTCATTTAAAGATAAATTTCTAACTATACTATATATACTAGGATAAGACCCGCGCCTTGCGCGGAATGAAACTATTATTTCTATTATGTTTTGAAAAATTAAACAATAGTTCGGTTTCATTCGGATTAGAGGTGTTCAATCCGGATATCGGGTTTCGGTTCGGCTCGATTTTTTGGTATTTCGATCATTAAAATATAACTACTACTCTAAATCTATATGTACTTCAGTTTGATTTGGTTTATATACCATCGGTTTTCAGTTTATTCAATTTTATACCAAAAAACATAATTATTTAGTTTNGGCTCGATTTTTTGGTATTTCGATCATTAAAATATAACTACTACTCTAAATCTATATGTACTTCAGTTTGATTTGGTTTATATACCATCGGTTTTCAGTTTATTCAATTTTATACCAAAAAACATAATTATTTAGTTTGAGATCATATTATATATTATACAAATATATAATATGATCATATTTAGAGTCATATTGTCACAGAGTCATTTATTAAAAAAATATTATATATTTAAATAAAAGAATAAAAAAACAAAAAAAGCTTCTATCATCTAATAAAATGATCAAATCTAGAATTAATATCAAAACACTAAATTTTGAAAATAAAAATAAAAAATAAAACAGAAGCATGAAAGAAATTTTTTTATATTCTTCCATATTTAGTGTTCATCAAACCAATATGTCTTCGATTGAACACAACTCTGTTTGTTTAAAGATAAAAAAAAGTTGTAAAAAATTTCAACTAATTGTTGTCCATCAAATTTATAATCTTTACTTCAATTTAGTTACTGTTAAAAAAGCAAAAGATCAAAATAAGATGTCTCAATTGTAATAAATTGTTAGCTATTTACAAATTATAATCATAGTTCAACTCATGTAACAAATAGATATTCATGTGTCGTTATAAATATATACATATTTACATGTTTCAGTTTAATCGGTTATAAATCAAACCATATTCAAATCCTATGGTTTTTATAAAATCACATCCATTCGGTTTGGATGGTATATACCAAAAATAACCATATTATCAATTGTTAATATCTTTTAAAAATATAAAATTAAAAAAGAACTAAGATATTAAAATCATTGATAACAAAAATTTTCAATGTGAAAAATTGATTAAGTTTATAATTTATAAATGTTCTTGAAAATTTATTGAAAACTTTGAAATTAAAATATTTATCTAATCTTATATGGTATATAGTTTAATCTGTATATATATTTGTTTTATTATTGTATGATACTTTTTACTTATATAGTTTTAAAATCATGTATATCTTTTTATAATAAAAAATTTAAACTATTGATCATTAATTTTTAACATAATAATTTTAATAGTTTAGTTATTTATTCTCATTTTTTAAAATTCAAAATATAACCTATACGAAAAAATCTAAAATTTAATTTTATAGCTAATTTGATTGTTTAATTTATTTTAATAATGTAAAATTAAAGAAAAATGATGGAGGATATATAAACTGTTATCAAATATTNTTAATAGTTTAGTTATTTATTCTCATTTTTTAAAATTCAAAATATAACCTATACGAAAAAATCTAAAATTTAATTTTATAGCTAATTTGATTGTTTAATTTATTTTAATAATGTAAAATTAAAGAAAAATGATGGAGGATATATAAACTGTTATCAAATATTTATTATTAGAATCATTAAGTGTCATATATATATATATATATATATATATATATATATATTAGTCTTTTATGGCAATTCCGTACGTTTTATTTATGGAAAGAAAATAAAATAGTAATTATATCTAGGGGATCAATCATTAAGTGTCATATATATATATATATTAGTCATTTATGGTAATTCCGTAGATTTTATTTATGGAAAGAAAATAATGTAAACTCGGTTTGATGCGTGGGATATATATTAATGTAAACTCGGTTACATGCGTTACATGCGTCTGTAATTATTATTTCCCTAGCAAATCTCAATTGAACCTAAAACTGCCACGTCAGTTTAATTGGTATGCTAATTGATTGACAACTAAGCAAGGTTACTTTTTAATTATTACAAACTTGAGGTTACATCTTTTCAAATGTTTCTCAATTAATATATAGGGGATGTGTAAGATGATATAGATTTAAAATCAAGGTTATGGAATATATTATACAAAATATGTCTTTATTTTGAAACTTTCAAAACATTTTATGTGGTGAAAAAGATTTGAGTTTTTAATATGTAAAATACAAAGCTTAATAACTGTTTTAACAGAAGTGAAATTAATTAAAAGTAAGATAGAAAAACCTACTTTTAACATGTAGAAAAACCTACTTGCAACTCGCGCTTTGGCCTTGTTCCAACAACTTTGCCAGTGCGTTACTTAGGGGTGCCACTATGCTCTAAGAAGCTATCTTTTGCAGACTGTGATCCGTTATTATTGCAAATCAAAAAGAAGATGAACTCATGGTCCACACGAGCACTTTCTATGGCTGGAAGACTGACTATGTTGTCCTCAGTCATCTCTGGGATTATTGGATACTGGACTAGTGCTTTCTTTCTCCCAAAAAAAGTAATCACAGCCATCAACTCTCTCTGCAGCTCCTTCTTGTGGCATGGCTCTATTGGTGATCAAACAAGTGCAAAGGTGGCATGGGTAGATATTACCAAACCGAAATCTGAAGGAGGTTTGGGGTTAAGGAGTGTGGAAGCTTGGAGTGAAACTTGCGGCCTGAAACTTCTATGGATGTTATTCTTTAGAGCCGGATCTATATGGGTGGCCTGGATGCGTTGTAAGTACCTCAGCTCTTCTCCTTTATGGGCTCTTAATGAGAGAAATTACGCATACTCCTGGATGTTTAGGAAACTATTGAAAATGAGACACAAGGCTCTAAAATTCTTAAGGATAACAATTGGTAATGGGGATTCTACTTTCTTCTGGTGGGATCCGTGGACACCATTTGGCAGTCTCTACTCTTTTATAGGCGAGCATGGTCCTACTTCTATGGGCATCCCTTTGTTCGCTTTAGTATCTGATGTTTGGAATGGTAGATGCTGGGCTCTACCCCCAGCCAGATCTGAGAAGCAACTCCGCCTATTGGCCTACATCTCCTCTCTCAACCCTCTAGATCGTGCTGACCTTGCTACCTGGTCCATCGATGGTAATATTCAAAAAAGCTTCATTTCTAAATCAGTGTGGAATGAGATCAGACCTCATAGTACTAAGAAAAATTGGGCCTCACTGGTGTGGCACAAGGGAGCAATTCCTAGACATTCTACCACTGCTTGGTTATTTATCCTTAATAGGAATCCAACTCTAGACAGGCTGGTTTCTTGGGGCCTTAACGTAGAGCCAACCTGCCTTCTATGTGGTGTCTCCTTGGAATCTAGAAATCATTTGTTTTTTGACTGTAACTTCTCAAGAGCAGTCTGGAGCACAATAACTCAACGTCTACGTCTCGTCTCCCCACCTTCTTCCTGGTCTGCTATCTTGACCTGGCTCCCGAGTGCTATGCCGGACAGATTCTCCTCTATAGCTCTTCTCCAAGGATGGCAATCTGCTATCTACTGCATTTGGCAGGAACGAAACAACCGTTTCCACAGGGGCCTTACTCGTTCTCCTGCTGTCATTGCTTCTAAGGCAATTGCCTTGTGTGTTGATAAATGCACTGCCATGTGCTCTCTCGGTTCCGCCAAGGGCCCGCCCATCTCGGCCGTTTGGTCCCCCCCTCCCTCCATGATGTGAGTAGTCCCAAGTCCAGCTGCTGATTATTATGTTCTCTGTTATTAATCAGTTCATCTGATTCTTTCTTTCTAACTTCTTATATTTATGTAACGATGCTTGCTTGCGTCAACTTTATTATATTAATGAAAGCCTTTTAACAAAAAAAAAAAAAACATGAAGAAAGAAAATACATGTCCTCCATGGTGTGTGTGAGAGAATGGCAATATTACAGTTACTATATAATATAGAGAGTATATCCTACTTATAGTCATTTTCTTGAATTAATTCTTTTTGTTACGGAGTTAAATTTCTTTTCTCTGATTTTATTTGATCACAGATTTTACAGTTACTTTTCTCTGCAATATTAAGTTCCGTCTAGACAAGCGTTCTAAACGCTTTCTTAAACACTGATAATTATTCACTTAGGAGACAATGATACTGAACAAACTCTAACAACAATATCACAATTAAGTTTTCTTATATTTAGTTCTGTATTATTAAATATACTTTATCTTAATATATATTTGTTATTATACTCTAGTTAATTAGTAAATTGATATTAGCAAATTATAGCGATAATATAAAAATTAGATTTATCCTATTTAGGAGTTGAGACAGTTTTAAATCTTTTTAGTGCTTTTGAAAATGTTTACATTTTACGATGATAATAAGTACTTAATTTTAAATCTAAACTGCCTAATGAAGGTTTGTTATTAGTATTCGAGAATATTTCAATTTAAAATCTACATTGTCAAAACAACAACAAAAAAAGTTAAATACATTATTTTCATAGTAAAATTAGATAATTTATAAATATTTAAAATAATAAAATTAAATAATATAATATTAATCCAAATTGGTGCAAGATGGGGATCTTCACCTAATTGGTAATAAACGTTTTCTTAAAACAAAGTAGACCCCAAATGTATTCATTTCAAGAAAAGAATCGGGCCGAAAAGGCATAGTGAAAGTCAAGTCAAACGAATCACTACAAAGATTCGTTTGACTTCCGGGGACGAGTAATCGCAAGACTTGTCTCTCTCTCTCTCTCTCTCTCTAGACCACTTTCTTCCTCTTCTTTCCCTTTTTTCACTCTCGCACGGTTCTGAAACCATCCCCAACACCACGACCACATCTGTAATAACCCTCAAATCATCACTGCCTTTTCTTTTTTATTTAAACCTCGTACATCAATCAGATTATTTCATCAAAACTGAGGTAAGCAGTGACATCGCTCTCCCGTTAATCCCGTGATCTACAACGTTGAAACCTTTCTTCTCCTTTTGATTAGTCTCTATTACCAAACCTCAACCCTCTGTTTCTGTCCTTCTTAGTTTTTTTTTTGTAAAAAAGTCCTCCTATGTGTTCTTAGATAAATGGATCCAAACTTCTCTCTCAACGGCTTCGAGTATTTGGACGAGAGTCTCTTCCTCGATTCATCTTCTTCATCACTTGATTTCGACCAAAACCCTAGCTTCCTCTCTCATCCTCAAACTCACCAACCCGATGAAACCGATTCCTCCAACACACTGCTTCGTTACGTGACTCAGATCCTCATGGAAGAGAGCGTTGGAGACAAGCAATCCATGTTCTACGACTCCTTAGCCTTGAGAAAAACAGAGGAGATGTTGCAGCAAGTGATCTCAGATTCAAAAGCTCACTCCTCTAACTCTGTGGTTACTACTACTAGTGATGCAAGTAGTAGCTTACCTGTGAATGAGATTATTGTCAAGAGTATGTTTAGTGATGACGCTGAATCTGATTTACAGTTTAGGAGAGGGCTTGAGGAAGCTAGAAAGTTTCTTCCCAACAGCGACCAATGGGTTTTCAATCTAGTTAAAGAAGAGGTTGTGGGATCAGATCTCTCGAGAGTTAAGAAGAGTCATCACGAAAGAGAGGTTCTTGATCTTGATGAAGTTAGGAGTAGTAAGCAGTCTGCAACGAGTGTTGAAGACGTGGAGGTTACGGATATGTTTGATAAGGTTCTGCTTCTTGATGGTGAATGCGATCCACAAACATTGTCAGAGAACAACATGAGTAGTAATAACAACAACAAGAAGAATAAGAACAAGACCAAGAAGAAGAAGAAGAGTCAGGTTATTGATTTTCGTACACTACTCACTCACTGCGCACAAGCTATCTCCACAGGAGACAAAACCACAGCTCTTGAGTTGCTGTTACAGATAAGGCAAGACTCGTCTCCTCTCGGCGACGCCTCTCAGAGACTAGCTCACTGTTTCGCCAACGCACTCGAGGCGCGTCTACAAGGCACCACTGGTCCTGTGATCCAGACTTACTACAACGCTATAACTTCCTTGAAAGAGACAGCTTCAGATATACTAAAAGCTTATAGAGTCTACCTCTCTTCGTCTCCCTTTGTCACTTTAATGTACTTCTTCTCCTTCAGGATGATTCTTGACGCTGCTAAAGACGCTAAGGTGCTTCACATAGTCGACTTCGGGATCCTCTACGGGTTCCAATGGCCTATGTTTATACAGTACATGTCGGGGCGTAAAGACGTTCCTAGGAAGCTACGGATTACTGGTATAGAGCTGCCTCAACGAGGGTTACGTCCTGCTGAACGTATAGAGGAGACAGGGAGGAGACTGGCTGAGTATTGTAAAAGGTTTAACGTACCGTTTGAGTATAAAGCCATTGCGTCTCAGCACTGGGAGACCATACGGTTAGATGAGTTTGATATCAGACCGGGTGAGGTTTTAGCGGTTAACGCTGGTTTAAGGCTCAAGACTCTTCAAGATGAGACAGGTGGTGAAGAGACGTGTCCGAGAGATGAAGTTCTGAAGCTGATAAGGAGGATGAACCCTGATGTCTTTGTCCACGCCATTGTTAACGGTTCATTCAACGCACCGTTCTTTATATCCCGGTTTAAAGAAGCGGTTTATCACTACTCTGCTCTGTTTGATATGTTTGATTCGACGTTGCCTAGGGATAACCAGGAGAGGATTAGGTTTGAGAGGGAGTTTTATGGGAGAGAGGCGATGAATGTGATAGCGTGCGAGGAAGGGGATAGGGTGGAGAGGCCGGAGACGTATAGGCAGTGGCAAGTGAGGATGGTTAGGGCAGGGTTTAAGCAGAAACCGGTTAAGGCTGAGATGGTTGAGTTGTTTAGGGAGAAGCTGAAGAAGTGGAGGTATCATAAGGACTTTGTGGTTGATGAGAATAGTAAATGGTTGTTGCAAGGGTGGAAAGGTCGGACTCTTTATGCTTCTTCTTGTTGGGTTCCTGCTTAGTGCTTTTTTTTGTTACACAAAGATCATGTAATCTTAGGAATATATATATATACACAAGATTTGGTATATGTTTTTTTTAAAGTGTGAAACTGAATCTGCCATGGATAGGTTTGGTTCTGGTATGGGATTGGTTCAAGAATCAGTTGGTGACACCGAAAGGCGTTTAGATATGCGGACTGGTCTTAGGTTTAATGCACAGATGACGGATCTTAACTGAAGAAGGAAGGTGGTAACAATGTTTAGTTAACATAATATATCACATTCATTCAACCAAGTAGAGCTTGAGACAATTAGAAACATGGAAGGTGGTAACAATCTATACTATTAAAACACAAGACCTTTTTTTGAGGTGCCCTTTTGTTTTAGCATTATTTACCCTTTTATGCCACTGACTTTATTTAAACATATGGTTTTAATTAAAATACTTTTATTTGTTTTAGTTAATCACAGATAACAATTAACAATCTCTCAAATCCGTGTAAAAACGATTCTCATAATATAGCTTTTATTGTTCTAGAGTTCAAAGAAGATGAAGATTCGTTTGATTTTGTCGACTGCGTTAAATTTTATAAAATCTGGGTTTGTTTTCGAAAATACAGAAATTCTATATTTTCAGTTTCATCATTGGTGTATTTAAAGGATAGACGATTCGGGATGGTTAGTGGAAACTTCTTAGATCTGGATGGAGGATTCAAAGAAGAACAATGAGTATTCCATAAATATCTTTAAGACTGAAGATTTTTTGGAAATAGACATATGAAAAAGCTGATTCGCAGGAGGAGTTTGGGATAAGGGAAAATCAGGAGTATTGATCAATTAAAGGGTCGTTTACACAGAAAATCAAGGTTGGCAGAGGTTTTACAAGGTACTACTAGGTTGATATAGGTTTGCACAGCAGGTTATGGTAAATGGACGATTTGTGGTTTTGGGATTTGGCAGGAAAAAAATAGTATAAGCTGTTATGTTGAGTATTAGAGATTGCATTTTTTTCATCTATATAAGGTTTTTCTTCTTCATCTATTTGGTTATTTTTACTGCCCTGTTGCTGGTGGTGTCAGTTTTCATGTTGTTGAGTTTGAAAATTCTATTCATAGCTCCAACGTTGTTGAGTAGGAATAATAAGTACAGTATGTTTTTTTATGTCTGATTCTGTCAGCGATATGGTTTCTTTAACAAAATGATTTTCTCTTGGATTGTAGAGAACAGCTGGAGAATTTAGTAGTATGGTCTCGATTTATTTGTACATTCTGATTTTAGGTAAGAGTACAGGTTTGGTTAGGTGTGGAGCCGGAGGGGCAATGGTTAATAGGGATGGTGGGACTTGAATTGTCATTTCAGAAAAATTGGGAAACATTGGGTATGGCGGATGAAGGATGATTTTAAAAGGAAACGATGTCCTTATAATACTGCCGATAATTATCCCTTTCATGTGTTTACTTACTATTATTTGACTGAGATGATTAGATGGATATGTGATGTATGTAGGTTTATGTGTTTTTGCATTTGGCAGAGATAATATATCAAGGGGGTCATAGGGGAGAAAGTTAGAAAACAGAAATGAGGAACAATCACTGATACCAAGATTTTACTATATGCAATTATGCATCAATTTGGAACTGAAGTTAGAGGTGAAATATACTGGAGCTTTTACTCGAGATTAGGACAGGTATAAAGAGGTTTTGTATTACAAAAAGAAAATTTGTGCTAAAACTTAAACATTTGTTTACCTTTTGAAAATATTTTTAAAATCACTGGGAGCAAACTAATATTTTAAAAATAAGTTGGAGCAAATCTAGATTGAGATCTCTAATATTAAAATTTAAAAATTATTTAGCAAAGATTATGGAAACTTTAAAAAAATAGGTAGCAAATTTAAATTTATCCCTCTAGATTTTAATTATATTTTACATAGTTATATATAGATTTGTATATTATCAAAAAAAATTGAATAAAATGCATAAATGTTTTGTCAAATAAAATGCATAACTTAAACTTTGAAACACTCAGATTTTTATATAATTATATAAGTGGACATTTAAAACAGATTTTATGATAACGCTCTTAATATTTTAGTAATAAATCTATGAATAAAAAGAAGTCTAAGTCAGTTATTTATAAAATACAAGACATAATGTATAAACAAATTTAAGATATCCGAAAACAGAAACCGAATCGATACCAATTTGAACTCGAAAATTTGTTGGGTTTCTAATATTATTATTCGAACCACAAAAACCAAAATAACCATACTAAAACAAAATTCAAATTCATAAATAACCGATTATTTTTATATCTCTAGGACCAAAAAACAGAAAACACAACAAAACCAAAATCTAAAAATGCAATTTGAAACTGAACCTCAAACCAAACACAGCCCTACACATATTAGCAAAAAACGGGTTAATAAATTCATTAATAAAAATCTCGCGCTTTAAAAATGCGGATCAAAATCTAGCAAACAAACATAATATCTTTTGTTTCCAATATTCATTTATTTAATTATATTTAATTCGTTCAAAATATTATATTTGAAAACCAGTTTGTAAATCTAACCGAATATATAGCAACTAATATGATCTAATCATTGTCGACAACTAATATAGGATCCATTTGACCTTCGAACAAGCAAATTCTCAAAGATGTTACCTAACAAACAAATGTAATATTTTTCTATTTCCTATATTCGTTTTATACAATTATATTAGTTTGTTCAAAATTTTATATTTCCTACTAGGTGTTTTGCCTGCACTTGCGGGAATAATTCTCTTACAAATATTTATTAGTTGATGTTTCATTAGTTTAAAAACCAACATAATAAGTTATTATTTATGTTTTGAAAAGATACAAATCAAACATCAAATAATTATTAGTGACAAAACTCAAACATCAGAAATATTTAAGAGAATATATTTCTATAATTATTTAGCTTAATTTGTATTTAATTATAATATTTATACAATTTTTTTACTTAATTAATATTTAATTGTAATTTTTGTATATTAATTTTAAATATATAATAGAAAAAATATTTTCAAGATAACAATATAATGCATAATTTATTTATTTTCTAAAAATATAGTAGATAAAAAATTAATTATATAAGATTATCAAAATTAGGACATATAATTAAAATTACATAAAATCATGGAGAATTTAACAAATCAGCAAATTCGCTTCTTAAATAATTTTTATATTTAATTATAAAAATAATAAATATTTTTCTATTTTACTTTTAAATAATATAATATAAAAATATATTTTCAAGTTAACAACATAATACATAAGAATTACCTTATTTTCTAAAAGTATAATATTATTAGTGTAAATTTATTTCAACTATAGAATAACTACAACTATTTATATCTTAATTTTAAATTTATAATACAAAAATATATTTTCAAGATAACAACTTAATACATAAGAATTATCTTATTTTCTAAGAATATGATAGCATTAACATAAATTTGTTTTAAATATATAATAAATTATATATAAAATTATTGAATTATGATAAATTATCAAAATTACTTGAAATCATGGAAAATATGACAAATCATCAAATATCAAATTCACTTCTTAAATAATAGTATAGATTTTTACATGTTAATTTTAAATTTTATAATAGAAAAGTATATTTTCAAGATAACAACAGAATACATAAGAATTAACTTATTTTCTAAAATATAAATTTAACTATTAATAAAATAATTTTAATATCTTAATTTTAAGTTTTATAATAGAAATATATATTTTCAACATAACAACATATTGCATAAGAATTATATTTTTAAGTTTTATATATAAAAATATATTTATAGATAATAAGATAATTCTTAAAATATATTTCTAGATAACAACATAATTCACAATAATTATCTTATTTTCTACAATATGGTATATTCATATAAATTCGTTTTATTTATAAATAAATTATATATAAAATATAAATATAAAATTATCTAAATTTATGGAGAACATGACAACTGAGCAAATTTACTTCTTAAATAATAGTATAAATATACGCTAAAAAAAACAATTAGCCAGGAATATTCATAACATATACTACTCTCCGGTAATCATAAATATTCCACTATCATTCAGTAACATATACCTATCATTTTCTATATATACAAGATATCCGACCATATTCATCTAACAAAAAATTCAAAAAATAGCACAGAAACGATAAAAATATCACACAAAAGTTATCATCCTCTCCGACGTGAAGCCTTTCACAACAGGTGGTATATCGAAGTACCTTTCCTATACAAAATGGTAATATGTTATGATGTATCTTTATCTATTTAACAAAAAATCATTTAGCTATAACTTCATGAGTTTTACTTGATTTATCAGTTTGAGGTGGAAATTAAGAAGGATAATATCTTCTAAGGATTTGTAAATTAAAAGATTTCACGGGTTTGGAATGGTAAGGATACTATGCCAAAGACGACCAATATTCCAGAATTTCAAGTTGATCATAATTTTTATGACCATAATTTTTAAAATAAACAGTCTATTGTGGGGTTGATTGGAAAGAACTGTAACTTTATAATTTTTTGTTGTAGAGTAAACTATAGATCTTTTTGATGTGGTTGTGAATAACTTTGCTGTAAGATTTTGACTGTATGATTAAAAATTTACATACAAATATTCTAAAGCAAAAAATAAATACTCTAGATATATTGCTTTCTAGAGCCATAACAAAGAAAAAAACAAATAAAAATCTGTAACTTTAAAAATTATTTACAAAGCATAATTGGAAAATATTTTGATTTAAAAATATTTTGGACTGTAAAAAGACTCTACATCATTTTTAAAAAGTATTTTAGCCCCATTTTTTACCAATTGTACTTGCCAATCACCCCATGTATCTCTATTTATTTTATATGACAATAATATCAACCAAATTGTTTATAATAGTTACCCTAAAACTATCTTTTTTTTTATAAAAAAAAATAAGTTTGAACTCAAAATATAAACTATTACAAATCAATATTTTAGATTACCGAATATTACTCATAATTTTATCGGGTTCCTAAAATTTGTTATTAAACTAAAACGAAAAAAATTAATCCTACACCACACATTAAATTGTATGTAATCGTATTTAGTCTATATATGTTGGACCAAACAAAAATTATTAATGATAATCTGTCTGAATCCGGATAATCATGCATATATATACTTGTGAATAATCGAACAAGGGCATAAATTTAAAACAAAAACGGTTGTCCCGCCCTCTTTAGGGGCGGGTCAAAATCTAGTGTCATTTATAACACAAACTATTAGCAGAGTGAACTTTTAGAAAAAAAAAGATCTTAGTAGAAGCAATAATTTAAAACAAAAATATTCATTGCTAACACTGAAGAACAAGAGACCGTATTTTTTTTCTTTTTTGTAGTTGTGTTTTATTGCATTCTTAATAAAATTTACAATCGTAACAGTGAACTCACTCTCTCCTACGTAGGAACCACCTGCGGCTCAAGCGGCGGAGGAGCTCCTTCATCCACCACAGGCCTAACCGTCGTGGTGGACTCCTCCTTCTCACTCTCCTCAAAACCAGACTTGAACCTGTCATAATTAGTCACCTCAACCGGTTTAAACGGACGTTCACCCAAAACTTTCTTAAGATCATCCTGATGCAGCACTTCCTTCTCTAGTAAAAGCTCAGCGATCTCAGCCACTTTCTCCTTATGCGTCTCTATCAGCTCCACTGTCTTCTCATAAGCTTTCCCCACCCATTCCCTTACTTCCTCGTCTATGATCGCACCCGTTTTGTTGCTGTACGGTTTATTGAAGTCGTATCCATCATCCCTAGGCGGAAACGAGAGTAGACCAACCTTGTCACTGAAACCGTACACAGCTACTTGCGCGTATGTCATCTTTGTAACTTTCTCTAGATCGTTTTGCGCACCGGTCGAGATCTTTCCTATCAATACCTGAAAAAGGACAAGAACACTTATGAACATCTTGTAACATGTAACAAGATTATTACTAGGTAGCAGTTTAAGTTTTACCTGCTCGGCTGCACGGCCACCTAGAGTCATGCAAGTCATGTCAAAGAGTTGTTCTTTGGTCATGAGAAGGTTTTCATTTGGAACGTATTGAGCAAATCCAAGCGCCGCTGTTCCACGTGGCACGATGGTAACCTTCAGCAACGGCTCCGCATGTTCCAGGAACCAACCAGCAACGGCGTGACCAGATTCATGATATGCAACTGTACGACGCTCCAGTTTGCTTATCACCTGTTCACAACACAATCAAGTAACATTCAGAAACAAACAGGACATATGTTTTTAAAAGTATTGTCAGAAAAAAGGAAACTTACTCTGTTCTTCTTCTCAAGACCACCAATGACACGATCAATAGCTGATTCAAAGTGTGCCATTGTGACAGTAGCTCCTTCGTGTCTAGCAGCAATAAGAGCCGCTTCGTTACATACATTAGCAATGTCAGCACCAGCAAAACCAGGAGTGAGAGCCGCAAGTCTCTGAGAGTAATAAGAAGGCTCATGATCAAGTTTGATCTTCTTCAAGTAAATCTGGAATATCTGATCACGCCCCTTGATATCCGGTTTATCAATGGTTATCTGACGATCAAACCGGCCAGGCCTTAACAAAGCTTTATCCAAAATGTCCGGTCTGTTGGTCCCAGCAAGAACCACAACTCCAGCTGTTGTACCAAACCCATCCATCTCAACTAGCAACTGATTCAAAGTGCTCTCACGCTCATCGTTACCACCTAAACCACCACGTCCTCTTGCCCTACCAATGGCATCGATCTCGTCTATAAAGATAATGCTCGGTGCAGCTTGTCTAGCTTCTTGGAACAAGTTTCTAACCCTCGAAGGTCCAACACCAACGAACATCTCCATGAAATCTGAACCGGATATAGACAGGAACGGCACACCTGATTCTCCAGCAGTAGCTTTGGCTAAAAGGGTCTTACCGGTTCCCGGAGGACCAACTAAAAGCGCACCTTTGGGGATCTTAGCACCCAAGTCTTCATACTTTTTGGGGTTCTTAAGGAAATGTACAAACTCCATGATCTCTTGCTTAGCCTCCTCGCATCCAGCAACGTCCTTGAAGTAAATCTTGTTCTTGGAGTTTTTATCAGCTCTTGTTATTGTGGCTTTGCCTATATTGAAGATTCCACGGCCGTTCTTCCCACCGGTTCCTCCTAATCCGCCTATTCCACCCTGCATTCGCCTAGCCCCGTAGACAAGAGTTCCCAAGAGAAGTAGAGTCGGTGCAAACCGTAGAAACTCTTGAAACCAGGCCATCTCAGTGGTATATGTGACGGGGACAAACTCGTGAGGATCAATGCCTAACGCTTCTTGAGCTTCTTCAAGTTTCTCCTCGAAAGATTCGACGCTGCCTATGTTGAAGTAGTACTTGTACTGACCACCAGTTCTCTTAACAGGGATACCTTGAGCATTGCCGTTTCCTTGGATAACAACGTCTTGAGTTGTTTGTTGGTCTCTCGGTGTGCTTCTCACGTAGACTTTGGCTACTGATTTGTTTGAGACATCTATGTGGTCAACTAGACCAGGCTCGAGAAGCTTGTTTTTGAACTCCTGAAAACTAATCTGAAACAAACAGGTATAGAGAACGGGATGTTAGTGAAAAGCAAACGCAGAAAGCATGATATAAGAATCGAGATCCAAGAATGTCACAGAGTTCAGATTATTTATGCTTGCCTGTTGCTGGTCTCCAGAGCCAAATGAGAAAGAAGATAAAAAAATAGCAAGAGCCACCAGCGGAATCAGCAAATTTTGGAATCGATTTGCAAACATATCTCCCAGGTTCTCGTTTTCATTCTTGTCTGAAGACTCTGAACCCTCTGTATTGCAACAAAACACACATTTAGAATTATTAGAATCCTTCAGTAGCACCAACAGTTCTCGAGTCAAGACAAGTGAAAGAATAAAACGGATGCAATCTGATACACTAAACATCGACCATAACTTGTAAAAAGCTAGAATTCATTAGGAAGAGAAAAATGGTGCAAAAATGAGTTGAAATTCCATTTAGTCTCAAGACAATCAGTAGATCTCCTTATTAACCAATACATCAGTGAATAGTCTCAGGTCATGAAACATATATATTACTAATACTAACACAATCGTTGATCACCCATCTTATTAACAGTTAACAAATTACAATCCACACACACAAAAATCAGTGTGTCTATTCACTTTCTTCCGCAAACCAAAAGCTCATCCTCCGCAAATTGAAAGAAGAAGAATCGCTACCATAAACCATCAACAATAACAAAGCTCAAAGCTTTTCCTAAGCTTCGAAGCTCTCTCGTATAATAGACACCATCCTTACTGATACTAAAATGTAAAACCAAAAACATAACACCCTAGGACATATTCAACAATCCTACAAACAAAACTCGATGAGGCTATTCACTCTCAACTGCAAACGCTGTTCTTAAGGTTATATTCACATTTCGCCACCAAAGGAAGAGAGTCAAAGACAAATATGTTGTTATTAGTTGGAATAAGCGGCACACACAAGACAAAGCTCAAAGCTTTTTCTCCCAATCTCAATAGAAAAACATCAATTTAGGATATCAAAAAAAAAAGGAAGGAGAGAGAGACCTTTAGAGTTAGACTCAGATTTCTGATCACTCTTGGGTTCTTGCTTTGGTTCTTTAGGAAAGTAGTTCTCATAATCTGCAATACACACAATAACCAATCTGATTCACTAAGCATTAAAACTAAACAAAACTAAAGCTTTATGCAAAAACATACTCTTCTTCTTGGGAGCTTCATCTGAGAAGAATCGACGCAGTCTTGGATTAGCAAAAACACCAATCAAATCATCGCCCACAAGTCCCTTTCTCCCAGTCAACGAAGCAAAGTGCCGACTCAAAAACCCTAACCCACCGCCTTCCACTTGATTCACCGACGCCGCCGCCTCAATACCCGGCGGAGGAATCAGCCTCGCCGATCTCACACCACCACCACCGTACAAAAACCCCTAATCTCACCCAAATCAAATAAACAATCAAGAGAGCGTAAAAACAAACACACAAACAAAAATAAACAAAATACGAATCTGAAAACAGACCCGTGAACGAGAGATGGAGGAGCGACCAAGCTTGGAGAAGAACATCGTCATTGAAGAAAATCACTAATGGTTTCGCATAATAGTTAGGGAAATGGCGAATTGAAGATCTGGAGATAAGAAAGGGGATTTAGGGTTTCTGAGAAATAAAAGTTTGGGTTTTTAATATATTTTATTTTTTGATGGAGAGAGAGAGAGTTTGTTTTATGAACTGCTTGGCAGACAAGACATGTACGCGTTTCTGTTTTTTTTTTTTTTTAATTGTTGTTTGTTCTATCTGTCGAGTGGATTATCTTGAACCGGTTTTTTGTTTCTAGAATCAAGTAAACCGGTTGTTGGTTTTCCAATCTCAAACCGATTTCGCAGCGTGGACACATTTTGGGCCTTCATCTAAATATGGGCTTCTCTTTTGTCCGTCAGAAACGAACCATTTTTTTTCTTGTCCACAATCGCGCCTATGCCCTTTACTAATCACCTATGCCCCTTCTTCTTTAGCGAAACTTGAATATCCAATTTTATCCTTTTTATTTTTAATTATTATTTTTAATTTTTCGAAAATTTGAAAAATTTAAAATTTCAAGCTTTTTAGAAAACTTTTAGTTATTGACGTACAATTGGTCAAACTTCATTATATTAAAATAGTTTTACTAACTTATACTTGTTTTTTTCTTTCTTTTTTTTTGTCAATTTGGTCACTTTGGACCGAAATTCTCAAACTGAGGTAAGGAGGGATCGAACCCCTAACGTCAGGGCTCGAAGGCAGAATTCAGTTGCCATTTGGCTACGAACGACCCGGCACTAACTTATACTTGTTATACTAAATACTACTTAGGTATACTAGTATTATTAATTATAGGTACTACGTAGTTATATTGAGTTATACTGATTTTACTAAGTTATATTAATATTATTGAATAATGCTAATGGTATTACTGAGTAATACTAAACTAGTGATACCAAGTCTCACTGTGTTAGTTGAACCAAATCATACATAATCAAGATCTACAAATGAATAAATAAAAAAAGACGAAAATAAAAGAAGAATAAGAACCCTAATTCATAGAAATCTAGAAATTATGATAAAAATTCTAAATTAAAGAAAAACCAAGAACTCTTTGTTGATTCATGTTGAGCCATTAACTGAAGCGCCAACAGGAGAAGAAATCACCATTGTTGCCGTTATTATCACCTTTGCTGTAGTTTCAACATAGATCCAAGCAGAATTGATGTTCATTACACCAATTAATTTTAACTGTGTAGATTTAGAATTATAGATCCATCGATAATATGTTTGTGTTTGTAGTGAAGAAAAAGGAAAATAGCTTTTATTATCTGATTTGGTGTGAAAGAAGATAGAAGAAGAAAAAAAAAGACTACGTATTTTCGAGAAAATTCATAATCTTATTAGATTATAAAGAGAGAAGAAGAAAATGAAATAAAAAACAGTTGGCCATTCTATCTTATTAATTAGGTTAAAAATAAAATGTAAATATGTAATTGTATTAATTTATGAATTAAAAATAAATCAATTTATAAAAAAAGAAATAGATAGTGTATTTTAATGATTATTTCTTGAGATGCTTGATTCGTGAGAAACTTAAGCTTCTAAAATGTTATTTTCTTTCCAAAATACCAAAACATGTAAGTTTCGGGCTTTCTATAGTTGAATTGAAACGCAACCATATACATGATGTGCTTAGTCAGATTATAATTTAAGTTAAATAAGTATCTCGTAGCTGTGTTTTAGGTCTTATGTGAAAATAGTTAACGTTTTTTCTTTGGTAATCTTTTTCATTTGCAAATTGGTTTAAGTCTTTCTCCTTTGAAATCGTTTTTTTGTAAGCCTCCTTTCAAGTGAGGAGTTGACGTGTATTTTTTTTCTTTTTTTTTTTTATAACCGTGGAGAATCTCAGGTGGTAAATCCAGACTAATCTCCACGAAGTCTTCTATTCGGGTACGCACGGTTATAGGCGGGAAGGTGGCCAAGGCGACTCGAACCCAAGGCATGCACTCCAGCTGAGTTGAAGTGTATTTTTCTAACTATTTAAATAGATTGATCTCCATATAGCCTTTGGGGAAGATGTGCAATTCTCCAGTAAAAGCTCAGCGACCTGAGCCACTTTCTCTTTGTATTTCTCGGTCATTTCCACGGTCTTCTCTTTACTCACTCGTTCTCTCACCACCTCGTCGATCATCACACTAGTTAGTATCTATACGCATCGATAAATTAAATTACCATATATTTGCAAACTGTTCATTTGCACATGGTCCACAAAAAATTTACAAAACAACATACTGTAGTTGAGGGTTCGACATATTTTTTTTGTCAAAAAAAAACATTTGAAGAACATATAAAATCATCTCATACTTTATCCACTTACAAGAATGCATATATACATCTGTTCACATAGTCACTTGGAGGTTCAATTCATCCGCCTAACCTACTAAGCTACTATCATATTATAGCTCATCCTCTGTGAATTTTCATATATGCTTTTTCTAAGTGTATGATCGAAAATTTTATTTCATTTCTGTAGATAGTAATTATTTGTTATACCGAACGTGACCAAATTACTTAAACGATAAAACAAATAATTTCTTAGATCAGAAGATGAAGTAAAAATGAATAGCATAATGTTTCAAGGTACACTGCAAGCTGGCTGTTGCCAAGTTGTTCGAAATTTATTAAATCCAAATATGAATTTTCTGATTCCTTTAACCACAGCCGTTATTGCACAGCTGACAGTTGAATATATGGTTACTGCTGCATCACATAGTACCAGTTTTAACGGCAAGAGCTTGTGGACCTATGGTTAGTAGACATCACCTAGTTTGGGTTAAGTCATGATCTTTGATAGTAAACAACCTAAGGAAATGAGATGGCACCATACCAAAACGCAACTGCAAAATTAACAGTAAGTAATGTTAAAATTTCGTGAAATTATTTGTAGTTTTCAAATGTTGATAAGATTTAATCGTCTAATATTAAAATATTATAATATTTTGTAGTGGATCAAATAATTTTTTTTTTATAATGTGAAATGTGTCATCATTAATATATACACGTTCTTAAGAACTTCTAGGACATTCAGGTACAAATCAAAGTTGAGATGTAAGGTACATTTTCTATATGCTAATCGTTATTTTGGATTTCCTTCATTTAGAGTCTTTATATTAGTGTTTCAAAAAAAAAAGAGTCTTATATGGAACCTATGGCTTGATATTAGTCAATTTTGCATTCATCCAACCTAACGTTTCTTACTTCCAAGCTCCAACAGAATTGTAGGAGATTGTTTAATTGTTCTATACATGTTAACACTTAGAGAGTTGACTCATAAAAGTAGATCAGTTTTTATCGTTTTCAATATTTTAATTATCAATAAAAGGGTTACTGACCGTCATCAAGGAAATTGTCTGCATACACTTTTAATAATTAAAGAGTGCTCTTTGAATCATACATTTTGACAGATGATCGTTGACAATATATATGACAGAAATAAAAGCATACATATATGCATGTCCGATGTCTCCCTTATAGACAATCTATAAGAACTTAGGATAACAAACTCACTATGGATATCTCTCGTCGTTTATCATATATGGAGATGGACTACCTAATATATAATGGCACATTTACGTATTAAGAAAGTGTATGTTTTTTAAATACGCATCTCATTAAGTCTATTAGGTTGAAAATATAGGTCAAAACTGAAAAGTTTCGGCTACTTCACGTATCTAATCCAAAGGAATATCTTGTTAATTACCAGAGTGCTCTTTGTACACGTTTTAGTGGTCTGGCATCAAATCTACTCCAATTTTTTTCAAAAATAAAAAGAATTAAGATACAAAAAGATTGAGAGAGACAGTTCCAAAAACAAATCATGTGAAAACTTTGCGGTAGGGTTTGAAGAGAGAGGGGGGGAGACCAAAGGGATAAGAAAGGGTTGGAGCATGTTAAATCTCTGTCTACCAGACCCTCGCAACGGCCTAGAGACTCTTTAGTTTGGACCAATGTAATATACTCTGAACAAATCTCTGACTTAGACAGAGACAAATCGGGGACAATGAATTACATTCATTTCAATCGATCTTTTTTGTTTATGGAAATCTAGAGTTCCACGTAAAGCTTAGTACAAGGTGTGTTAGGTGGAGACGTCGCATGCACGTACCCAACCTATGGACACCTAGCCACTCGCTATGTCACGAGACCAAAATATTGTATGTGCTGTCTCCCTTCTATGGTTCAAAGCCTTGCATACTTCCGCGTTTGTGACATGAGAATATGAGATAGCCATAAATGTTATCTAATCTAATTACTTAATGTAAGAATACGGTTTTAGTTTTACTACAAACACAATTCCGTATTCAATATGAACTATACATACTTATATACGTCCTTGACACTAATTTAGATATACAATTAATTAATATCTTACAACTACATAAACAAAGACATATGTATGCTTCCGTACAAAACAATTGCGTCTACCTCACCCTTTACGTCTGAACGGAATCTTAAAATAAGAATCCAATATTATTGCATTGTAGAAAAATGAATAGAAAAAAACACACATCAGTTTCAGAAAAGTATAGAAAAAATAATTAGGATCCAAGAGAGGGCAGATCCAAAAACCTTGCGAAGTCTTTTGGATGCATTGAGACCAAATCTTCATCAAGACAATTAATTTTAAAATCTGAATACTTGCTTGGATCACCATTTACTATATATAATCCAAATTCGGGTTGGTTCGGATCCGAACACAAATTATTTCAACGCAACTGTCACGACATGATACCAATAAGCTAGTTAGATATGTATAACAGTCAATCGAAAGAGTTCGAAGACTTCCAAGCAATCAAAAGAAATTTTCATTGAAATGCAACTTTACATAAGTGGGGAATAATTCATTTACAAAAGAAAACGGGCCAAATTTGAGGCCAGTTTTAAAATGAGATAGATATAAACCTTAAAAGAGAGAAAATTATCTACTGGTAGAGAAACTAAAGCATGAGTTATTAGATTAATAGAAATAAAAACTCCAGTTATGCCTTAGGCTTAAATTGGAGTCACTCTTATTGGTAAACCATTCTTGGGCACAGGGAAAGGACCATATTGTATCCCTTCCTCGCCTCCTTCCACTTCCCATCTGCAGATTAAAACCAAAACTTCATTAACTATCAATCATCATTAGTTTCTTGCATAATAAGATATATATAAATATATATTAAATCATATATATATATATGATTTAATAAGGATACATCTTTTGTGTAGGGCCATACATAGAGAACGTACTAATTTGCCTGGTCGCCGATTCACATGTGAAAATTATTCGGGGGTACTATTAATTGTTGTTATCAACAAATATCTACTCATAAGTTCTCAAGAATAGAAACAAAATCCAAGATCAATTCTTATGTTAGCTAGATCCTATTTACAGCTGGCGATCTCTTTCAAACTTTACCATCACATTTTTTTTTCTTCTCGCCTTTGGGCCCATTGACCCTTTATCATCACAGATTCAAGTAAACATGTTCAATGAAACACGTAGTTTAAAGTGTAAGAATTATTTTTCTATTGCACCTATGACATCACGAAGTGATGACATCTTAAATTAGTTATGGAGTTATATGGAACAAAAATGGTCTGCTTCTGAGCGAGGTTTGGATATTCATTCAGATTCGGATCAAGTTATTTAGCTTTTTGGTTATATTTTGTATCATTTACTAGAATCTATATATAAGGCCGACTTACATGCCTCAGGTTCAAATTCGTATCTCCGATTTTACTAATTAAATGGTCCAATAATTTCTATACATACATATTTTTATATAAATCATATTTACAAACTTTAGTAAAAAAGAGGTCCTAAAATATTTTACATGTACATAATTTGTTTTATTACAAATTTTATAAATATGATGGTGATAAAATATATAAAATATATTTAAATTTTAATAAATATAAATATTAAGAATAAAAAAATCTTTTTCTCCATAAGACCAAATAAATGTTGAGCTGACTCTATCTATATATTAAGCATATATCATTTGAATATTATGATTTGATTTACACTATATAGGTTTGTATAAACCCGAAATAATTTGTTTTTTAAAACTTAAGAAGTATACTATTATTTTTATATTGAGTATTTAAGATAATTATTTAAATTTTAGATACTTATTGTTAGATATCATATCGAAATAAATATGAAATTGAATATTTGAATTAAATATTTATGTTTCAAATATTTATATCGTATATTAGTTTTGATAATTAAATCGGTTACTTTGGATATCTTTTTCAATTTTTTTTGTTTTTCAGATTATCCATTTAATTTGGATAATAACATTTAGGATTTAAATATATTTTGTACCATCTGACAATATTCATTTGGGTATTGTTTTATATTTTGAACAAAAGATCATTTCGGTTTTGGTTCAAATTTCGGGTTTGGAATTTCATGTTCAGTCCTAACTATTTTTATCGATTAGAGGAGGATTGTGTTTAGTTTTACAAATATGAAGTCTAAAGGCTTTTACTTACGTTGTTCAGGATGCCAGTTGTTTGTATACAGGGAATTGTAGAATAAAATGAATAATTATGCCCTCGATTAGAAGAGGATTGTATTTAGTTTTACAAATATGAAGTCTAAAGGCTTTTATTTACGTTGTTCAGGATGCAAGTTGTTTATATATATATATATATATGTATGTATAAAATTACCAAAAAAGAGTTGTTTACATACATGAAATTGTTGAATAAAATGAATAAATATAAGGGTAAATGGAGAAACGAATCTCATTTCTCAATGTTTTTTCAAGTACAGTAATTTTCAACAAATTGATTTGTTCTCTATCTAGCCTAGGGAATAGTACAACTAATTTTCTATTTTGTTAGTGGTAATGTAAGGGATTTTGTGGAGATGTCTATTCCACTTGGTTTTATTAATAAAAAGGAGGAATTCAGTTTACAACCTTTCTTTTCCTGCATTATTGTTATTTTGTATTAAACTAATAATTAAGAAACACAAAATATACTTTAATTAGCTTTTTCTATAAAAACAACAGAAATACATTAACTGACCCTTTAATAAAAATAAAGATAGTAATAGTTTTCTAGTTAAACTAGAAGCTTGGATAGTTAACTAATGTAATGTGTTCGGACAATTTCTTCAGAGTTAAGTGAAGCCGTCAAAATAACTTTTAAGCTTTTGAGGATTTTATACGTAAAAGAGTAATGAGACAAAAGAAATTAGGAATTCTTTAATAAGGATTCGAAGAATTATAGGAAAACAATAAAAATACCTGAAAGAGGTAGTGAGGTGGTGAAGCAGGATAAGCATCTCAAGTTTAGCCAGCTCACTTCCTGGGCATGAGTGCACGCCATTCCCAAATGGCATGAACGTGTAAGCTTTTGGTGGCACCTGTCGACATTACAAGATGTTACCTACATGCAGTGCAAGTCCATCAAAGTCCCCACATACTTGACTAAACCCTAGATTTGACATCGAGTTCGATCGATGTTTTTTACTCTTCATAAAATTTCCGATCTTTCAACAATAATTTATTGGCAAAAAAGCGGTGCGTATAACATAAAGATTAGTTTAAAAGTCATCGCGTCCATGCCATGTCTTAATCACCTTGTCTACCACGAATATAAGAAACATTGTTGATAATCTTATTCTTTGGTTAGCTGAGCCTGTGACTTATAGGGGTGTATACCTCGAATCTTGACGGGTCGAATTTTTCGGGTTCAGGGAAAAAATCGGGAGAGTGATGGATTCGTCGGAAAAGAGGAAGAACCTTCCAACCTTTTGGGATCAAGTAGCCATTATATTCGACGTCTTGCACAGCTTCTCTAAACGTAAATGACAATACACTTGCTGCTCTTAGTGTCTCTTGAATCACCTAGCGAAGCCGTATCAATACCATTAATTTATTATATTGTAAAATACTATGGTGACATACTGACTCTTTTTTTATTATTATGACTAAAATAGCAAAATGGGATATTACCCTTGTGGTCAGAGGCATTTTTCTTGTATCCTCCCACGAGATTCTTCGGTTTTCTTCCTTTGTTTTCTGTCGAATGCAGACTTGTTCCCTCTATTAAAATTTTGAAATAATATATGATCAAAGAATTAATTTGAATATGCAAGGTGGTGCGGTTGATATTAATAAAGCAGACAAATTTAAATGATACACTATATCATATACATTTCTCTAATATCTCTTATCACAAACTTATAGAAAAAAAGTTGCTTACTGAAACTTCTTGGAGGAGGTTTGGTTGGTCGTGTAAGTATTTGAGAAGCCAAGTTAAGACAGAAGCGGTAGTGTCAGTGGCGGCGAAGATAACGCCGATGATGTTGTCAGCGATCTGTGAATCGCTTAAACCGTTGCGTTTCTGATCTTTGGCACCGAGAAGGACTCCTAATAGTCCTCCTCCTTCTCTCCTACTTTCTCTTCTCTTTTCTATCAGTTTCCTTAATTCCTTGCTTAATTCCCTCCTTGCCTTCATTTTTTTCATCACAAAAAATATTTTATACATAACCCTATTATTTTACATTTTCAAGAAATTAGACAACATGAATTGAATTATTTCAAACATCTACGTTTGAAGCTAGCTTTGTTGTCTTTATGTTTTGTGAAAAGAATATAACATAATATTCACAAGAATCTAAACATAATATCTAACACGTGTGGTCCCTAAAAACCAAAGTATATACAGTTTTGTTGTTTTTATTCTTATAGTTTGTGGTATTTACGATTCTACGTAGACCACGTTCTCTTACAAATTCCCCAAAACAATGTAAAGAATCATCTCTATCTATAACGATCACGAGCTCCATAACTTATATTGTACGTTATATACATAGCTGATAAACTTATGATATACCTTCATGGATTTATGAAAAAGTGTGCCAGGTACGTCGAGAGGCATGGAGTTGTAACCCTTTTCAAGACGTTGATAGAGAAGCTTAATAGCTTCAAGTTCACCGGGCTCCTCCTTATCCCCAAACGCTGACATGATCGCCACATCGAATGCATACTACACCCACAAATCCAATTCTTTCATAAATCTGGTATTTTCTATAACCAAAAATACGGAGAAATATACATGGAAATTTTAATGAATTATAATAGACAAATTAAGTTTTAAGCCGATTTTTTTACTTTTAACTCACAAAAGATATACAGTAGAACCTCTATAAATTAATACTCGATAAATTAATATATACTAAATATCTTTATAAATTAATATAATTTTATAGTCTCAAATTGAGTTTTTGGTTCAATTAGTATATCTATAAATTAATATCTCTTTAAATTAATAAAAAAATAAAAATTTGGTGTAGTCCCGACATTATTAATATATAGAGGTTTCACTGTATCTTTATAAAGTGGACCCCAAAAATATTCCAAATCTCGTTTTCTTGACCTTAACCGTAAGATCACACAAATTTTGTAACATATATGTATAATATAAAATGAGGCCCGCCAAGTTTGGAAATTTATGTCAATATTTCTTTTGGAATGCCTCAAGAACCATCCCTGAATATAACCCAAAATATAGCAAAGAGACATACTCGTTTCATGTGTTCAAGGGTGTTGATGGACTTTGGAGATGTCCAAGAAGAGAGGATTTGTAGGACGAGGAGCTCGATGTGAGAGACTGTTGGTCTGAGAGCAGAAGGCATGAAGGAAGATTGAACGAGCCGCTTAAGTGTGGAATGGTAAGGACCTTGGTGGAAGAAGAGAGCCTCTGGTCCAATCATACGCTCTTTGCTAGTAGGATAAGTTGGCTTGAACATATGTGCCTTGCTCACTAACACCATTCGAGCTGCCTCTGGACTGCTTATCATCACACATGGACATCCCAATATGTGTGTCTTGAATATCTCTCCGTATCTGCGGATACACCCTTTGTCATTTAAGACACTCATAGTAGCTAACTATAATTGAAATCTCAAAACCAAATCATGGGGTTGCAATTAATAAATGTAACCCTTGGACCGCTGGACCACGTTAAAGTTGAAAATAAAGATTTGGCATTATAAGAAATGTGGATTTGTTGGTAACAACAAAAAGTATGATTAGAACGGATTGATAGTTTATCCCTCTTCAGTGTCCCAAAAGAGGATCAATATTTTTACGAAACAACTTACTAAAATGACAGATGAACCTAAAAATAATATACACAACTCATGTAAGAGCAAAAGAAAATGAATACTTGTTTTGGCGGGTGGCGAAGAAGGAATTGGGATTCTCAGTGTAGAGGCGGAGTGTCTCTCCGATGTATGGCCAACCCATGGAACCGGGAGGTAGCTTCTGTCTTTGCTTTTTCCGGTGCAACCGCCATTGAAGTAACACCACTAGCAACGCTACTAATACACTAGTTACTGTGATCAAATTAGCACAAACAGGGGAGAAGAAAATTGAAGATGATGATGATATAATTTGCATTATTCAAAATGATTATGAGTTGTATGTGTTGGTTCTGGTTAGTGACTATGCTTGAAAGTATTGAGGGGCTTTATATAGAGCCAGTTGAGGTGGGAAGATACTTCATTCTTGACCTCTCCTTTCTTTTTTTTTTTTCCATAGATTTATATTGTATATTTTTGGCAATTATATACATGTTAAATACAAAATTGCCGCCAAAGGAATAGAGCTAATCTATACGAGTCGTTTTGTTGCTAGACCGTATCTTGAATTTAAGGTATTTATTTATCTTTTTATCGCAAATTATTCAAAATTTGCCGACGGTTCTTTGGTCCAATAAACAGAAACTTGAATCTGCAGATAGGCTACAAAATATAATATCATAGAAGAGTTTATGTTTCTTTAGTTCAAAAACGAGTTTAAGTTTCTCTAAAATTTATTTTTCTCGAAACATAAATGATTTGACTTTTCTGTTATTATTTTTCTATAGATACAGATATTTTAGTGCACAAAGTTTTCGGCGCAGTATTCTTAGTGTTATCTCTTCTTTTCTTTCTTCTTGTGGTTATAGTCTCTTGATTTGTTGTATCCTTGGGTAATCTACAACTATTTTTAGGCTTATTTTATATTTTTGCGATACCAAAAACAAGTACGGAACACAAAAATAATTTGTGCAAATTCATTTATGTTTGTGTATTTGGATTGTATTTGCATTTTTTATTTTACTTGCCCTTTGGCTAACCCCACACTACACTTTAGTGACCACAAAAAACAAAGACCAATGTTCAATTTTTTTTTTAGATAAATGGGATCCACTGGAAATGTTGTATGGTTGAGTTCTCTTGTTAGCAGGAAAAAATCTAGCAAAGCTAGAACATTTTTTCTTTGTATTAGAATATGTTAAAATTCCCATTAATTAGTCGTATACTAAGTTTTGTTTTTTCCATTTATGTTTTTGGAGTAGGAATCTTCTTAGGTACGATGTGATAGTTGGTTTCTACGTTCTTTTAGTATGTACAATATATATATGTTATGCGAAATTTTTGAAAATGCACCCAATATTAGAAATGATCAACTTTTAACAATTTTGAAGTATATTAGTCAATTTAAACAATGATCTCAATCAAAGGTGTAATGAAAATAAAACCTAGTGTTTTATAACATAGGAAACGTTTGAAAATTTCTTCCCATTGGGTGATGTGAATTTTGAAATATGCAACAAATGATAATGAAAAAACAAATATTTTGGTCACTCTATAATATTAATGGAAAGAATTAAACACTATACCAAAAGGGAATTTTTTGGCTACTGAGAAAGTTTTAAAATGGCAAAGAGTATTCGTCTATTAGGTATTGAAAAGTCTCGGAGATCAGTTAATCTAAGTTTCGGTCCAATATCTATCCTAATTATAAAAGTTACAATATTTTGGTAAGTTTAAAGATTATAGAGTTAAGCTTTAAAAGATGAATGAATAAATAAGAAAGGCTGCTCTTTTTTCTTCACATGGAACTTCGTTCTCATAGACTGACACCTGACATATATGCTGTACAGTACACTAGGCTTGGCTTGAAATTCAGCACTGGAGAGCAAATAAGCAGCGGAAAAAGGCTCGGTGTATGCCTGTCTGAGATGATGAATGTTTTTAGAAAAGTTACTAGGAACCAATCGCTTATATTATTCTCAGTAACTTGCTAACACTTTTCTCTTCAGAGGCATTCCATAGAATATAAATACTTGTGTATAGTTGTCGTTGTGGTGAACGAATCGCACAATAAATAAAGTTGGAGGAGACTGAATCAAAAATATTTGGGGGTAAAAAGAAACGAAGCCCGTGACATGCTGAAAAATCCACGTCAGCATAGCATAGAATTGAATCAGTGAGCCTGCAAAATGCAGTTACGGCTTGGCCTTAAACTCCTCTGCTGCTCACACTTCAGCTTTTCCTGATCCTTAAGGAACTTTTCCCCCTTTCCAATCATTTTCTAGTATCTTCTTAGCTATATTATAATTATTGACCAAAATATTACTATTATCAACCAAATTATTATTATTATTATTATCATATATGTAGTCGGTCTTTTTGTTTATTTTTGATATACATCTTTCTTCTTATGTTCCTTTTGTTGAATGGTTTTAGTAATATGGAAGCTGAATGGAAATATATTTTTAAAGAATTGTATCCGAAAGGATGGCAGCTTGTTAATTTAGTTACATTTTAAGTATTTTGAGTTTTTTTGTTAGCAAAACATTATAAAATGTTCAAAACGATTTAAAAGAGTTTGGGTGAAATATGTGTAGTTGAAGATATTTTATCATTATCTCAAACTAAAATTATATATATAAATGTTAAAAAAAGTTATATATATAAATGTGGAGACTACGTGTATATAAGGAATGGATATATGGATCAATACTTAATCCCTAGTACAATTTATGTAATAGATATATTGTTAATCATTCAGCATGTCACTTTATTAAAATAAAAACTACAGGAAGAGTTCTTGAAATGAAATTAATGGTGACAACCGTCCAGTCCCGTATCACAGTTAACAGTAACAAAATTTTTACATATACCATATATTTATATATTTTTATAATTATTAAAACTGCATCGCAATTGTGAACCATTTGTCCCGTACCATTCAAACCGCCGTATTTGGAGCCTGATTAAATGCTATTACCGAAGTAATCCTGGACGTTGAATAGTTTCGGTGAGGTTGATGGTAAACCGAAACTATTCAACGTCCATGATTACTTCGGTAGTAGCATTTAATTAGGCTCCAAATACCACTGGTAACCATTCTCTTTTCAATTTGTCAGACTTCCCCCACTCTAATATCAATTCCCCCAAAATCCTCTACCGAATTAACTCTATAAATTATAGGGTCCCTTTATAAGATTAAATCTGTTTTATTTTGTGAATCTGTTGCAGAGACGTGTATAGTGTTTCGTACTTTTCAACTATTAATATTTTATAGTACTTCTTCCGTAGTACGTCTGTTGTGCCGACTACATAAATAAATACAGCGTTTCTATACAAATTTAATAACAACTTATATGAAACAAATAAAGTAATGTTTTTAAAAACAAAAAAAAGGTTAAGAACTTATACATACAGCAGACGAGAACCTAGATTATATTATCTACCTAGTCTATCTATCGTCCAGCTCCAGATTCAATATCAGATTCTCCATCTTTATTATGTTTCGGTTGCGTTGTGAGACGTTCTTCGCTCATGAAAAAAGAGGCTCGTTGTAGCTCAAACTCCCTGTTTAATGACATACTCCGTGGCCATGGTCTCATCTGAAGAGTCGAAGGGCTCGGAGTACACGAAGTAACACGTGAACCCACATTATGAACGGCACTGTTCTTGAAAGTATGAGACTTTACGTCTTTCTCATCAAAGGTTCTGAACAAAGACTTTAGCTTTCCCCACAAGGAACCTTCGGAACTATCACATAGGGTGTGCCTATTGTCGTACAAGAAATGGGCTACAAAGATGAGAAATGCCAAGAATGAAGCAATGCCTGCTATTAGAAATAGACCCCAGAAGCTACTTAGGCTGAGACGGTTAGATGAAAGAGCAGTCTTTGGATCAGGACATTCACTAGGGAGGCTGTGACTGTTGAACCATCTTTTCTCGATGCCTACCATTTCGTCACTTTGAGTCAAATTCAAGATAGCCCTTGATACATCTCCTGTCATAGGCGAGTTCTTGGGGAATGCCTACGCACGGATCATGGAAAACAAAAGATGAATATATACATACTTTCATTTTTGGTATTTTGTAAAAGTAATAATGAATATAATATAAGGAACTTACAAACCCAAAACCAGCAGTCTTGAAGGAAGGTTCAACCATTGCATATTTGGAGCAGTACAGAGAAAGGATAGCCTTAAGGTAGGCCACTTCGTCGAAAGCCGCTGCTATTGTCCCGTTGGACAAAAGCTCGTCACATTCTTCAGCAGAACCAAAAGCCTTGAGCTTTGATTCAGGGAAGCCTAGACCTTTTAGAGTATCTTTAACAAAAGCGCCATGTTGGAACCCTACAGACTCCCCATTTCTGAGGAGATTTTGCACACTTGTCGCTCTAGGTTCTAAACGTTGCACCGTTAGGAAAGAGGTGAGATTCGCTGTGTAACTCTGAGTGAGCACAAGCATCACAAAACACCAGACAATCACAACAAACCTTGATAAGTTGCTCACCACCTTCTCGCCTATATAAAAACACAAACAATGTCACTAACTATATTATTATAATTTTTTTTGAGTACTATGAGGTTCGGAGCCAAAATCCGTTAATCCCCTTGCCCGAAATAGGCGAAACCACAACCACGTCATGTAATATTAGTTTCGTCCTAGCAGTCATTCTAATTGGGAACACTTCTGACACAATGGTCAGAGTCCTTTCTAGTTGAGCTAATGACTTTCTTATTATAACAATGGTACTCTTGATTGTTGTTAGAACTTACGGTGAGCGAAAACCATAGTAGAGAAGGAGAACCAGAAACTAGTGCCAATCTGGTGGTGAGGCGGTCCACGAAAGTCGGAGTTGACTCTATGTTCGAACAGCCACACAACAAAACCGATGAGGACAAAAAAGCAACCAGTGGTGATCCATAGGTCTAAGCTCCAAGGTTTGAGGAACACCCATGTGTTCTTGTTTTCGTTGTCCCTGAGCGGCACCAACATGGATACTCCAGACTCTGTGTAAGGTAACGTGAAATCAACAAACCGTGACCTGTGTGCTGTGATGGTTATATCTCCAACAACTGCATCCAACGTCTGCGTCATTTATTAATAATATGTTAGAAATCACACGTGGAAGAAAAATAAATAATCTACTATATATATATCATGGTCATGATTTAGCCTACTCGTTACTCGTAGTTATATATGGAGAAAAAAGGAACTAACCCCGTTATGGACTAGGTAGACCAATTCATTGTAGTCATCATCTGAAGAATCGTAACGGTAGTAATGAGGAGTGACTGAGTATGGCAACTTTTTAAGAACAGTTTCAAAGATGTCTATGGCGTAACCCTTTGCGGTTGTTACGTTAGTGATCGGATCTGTCTTCACCTCCACAAAATTGTAGAAGCCTCTCTTTACTGGAACGCCTACTTTAATCTTCTTACCGTCCGTTGGAATCTCCCAACCTATTGGAACAGCATAGGAACTCCCGGGCCATATCACTGGCCCCAACATTTCCTTTTTGTTCGAATTTGCATTCATAAGTCCGTCTCTCGTTGTCCAAGTTCCGATTACCTTCTCCTCTTTTCCAACAACATTGATGATCTCAAAAGATGATGACTCGAGCTGCTTGTTAAGGAGCTTAAACTCTCCTGCCAATCCTTTGAATTCTACAACGGAGAGAGCGTCCAGAAGACTTTGACCATAGCGAGAGACACCTAAGGTTCCAAGATCTGTCATGTTATTTGAGGAAGCGCTAAAGTTATCATACCGAAAGTTCTTTGTGTTGGTTTTCTCCACGGCCATGGCTAATGCAGTGATCGAATCATAAGCCCATAACGCGAAAACATTCAGCTCAACATCATCCCTCATCAATGGATTCTCCTTCTGGAACTTTCTTTTCCATCTCAAACGAAAATCTTCAAGCTCTTTTGATTCAGGGACATGATTTCTCACACCTAGCAAGCCTTGCATGGTCTCTAAGCTACGACCATTATGTCTAATCATATTCGTCATTCCATTTGATAGTAACCAGACATACCCTTCCTCCACCATCCCGATCTCCCTTGCCTTCTCCAAAACCCGGAAGCCGAGTCTTGAGGCCATGTGGATAACAAACACCCTTGTCTGCTTTGTCTTGAGCTTATAAAGTTCCTTTAGAATCTGATCATCGTTAGCCTCCGGAGAGATCACACTTCTTTGGACGTCCACGTCTTGTAAAGCGTCTGACAAGGAACGCATGATTCCTTCACCTAACTCGTTCTCCACATAAATGGCCACGACGCTTCTCCACCCAAAGGAGTTAACAACGGCCGCAATGGCTTTGACCTGGTACGAGTCGTCGAGAGTGGCTCGGACGAAGTAAGGGCTCTTGATGGATGTTAAAAGAGGGCTTGTTGCGGAAAATGTGATGATCGGGACGTGAGATTTGTTGGCCATTCTTATCATAAATTCGGCTTGCGTAGAGCTTCGTGGTCCTATGATGGCACTCACTTGCTCGTTCTTGATTAGGTCCAAGGCTGTTTACACCACAAGCAAATTAAAAAAAGAGAGTTGATTATGTGTTTTAGAGCGCCAGAAAATATAAAACGAACCCTTGTTATATCTTATATATTAAAACAGAAGTCACAACCTAGATTCATGTGTGATTTTTAAAAAAATGAACTATTCCTTAAGAAGATTATGAAGATTATCAAATGTTACATAATTTAATGATAATATCTTTATTTTTCTATTTGAAATACAAATGAAATAAATCCAACAATTTTTTTTTGACATATTTTTAAATTGTATTTCCATAATATTATCCCATATATTTATGTTTTATTCGAAATACAAATGTTTTTGTTTAAGATATTAAAATTTATCTAGATAGCATTATATATTCCTAAATCCTAAATAAAAAACTATATATTAGAGTTTAACCCACACAATTTTTTTCTTTTTATAAATATAACACTTTGATAGTATTATAAAAAAATTAAATATATGATTTACATTTGATGTTATATATTATATAACTCTATAATTTAGTTGTTTAAGTTTTTTATTCTTCATTATTAATATATAGTAATTTGTTTTATATATTTTAATTTATATTCTTATTGATTGTTGTTACTAAATAATATATTTTTGAGTTTGATACATAAATTATAATTTAAAATAATTAAATTATAATCTTCTTTAATATAGAGTTTTAATTTCTGGAATTTGCATACAATACATTTTAAAATTTATTTAGATACACTATAGATAAATATTTGTTAGTGATAATTTATATTTTTTTCTTGTGTTTAAAAATGATACTTTTTACATCTATTATTTTAGTATTTTGCACGATTTTATAAGTAAATATATTATTATTTATTGATAATTTTTTTATAAATTATAAATAAAAAGAAAACCCGCACGGTTGTGCGGGTCGAGATCTAGTCTATTATATTAAAAGAGAAGTCATGACTCATTTCATGTGTGATTTATTTCATTTGGACCATTAGCAAAAAAAAATTTATTAAATATATTTCATTTCTTTGTATAATTTCGAATTAGTCATGAAAATAATTATACATTAATATATATATATATATATATATATATATATATAATGAAAACAAAATGTTATTCTTTTTATCTATTTCATAATCATAATCTATCATATTAAATGAAAATTACTATAATAAAGTGAATGTTATAAAATTATATTAAATTAATAAATTAATCAATTTTATTTTCAAAAATAGAAAATATTAATTTTAAAAATCTAAAATATATTGGCAGAGCGGATTAAGATTAGTAACTATAAATAAATATATAAAATTAACATATCTTAAACTTTTATAATATCATATTATCTATTTAAACATAAAAAGTTTGCTAAACGGTAATCTAGCTTTGAAACTCAGATAATAATTTAGTATAAATTAAATATAAAGTAATTTTCAAATATGATTTTCATGCATATATTAATATTAATAATTAAATATAAATCCAATGAGATAAGTATATAAAAAGAAACTATTGAAACAACTGATATTAACATACAAGCTATAAAATTATTGTGTTTGTAATAATTATACAAACATTTAAACATATGACTAACGTTAATATATATGTATATAAATATGGAAACAAATCCCGCGCGGTTGCGCGGGTTAAAATCTAGTCATATGTTTAAAGGGCTTTCGTAACCCTTGTTATATATTTCTACAGAATATAGTATCAGATATGTGTTTCCTAAACATTTTAAATTTAACATATTAGACGAACTGAATTTTGATTTTGTTGTTCATAACAAGCTTTCAGGAGGAGAATACTGGACTAATGATTGTGTTAAAAAAAAGAATACTGGAATTATTCTTTTTTTTTTCTTTTGATATACAAATTCTCAAAACAATAAATTGATCATATAAGAATAAAATGACTAGTTACTACACACACACACACATAGTCCAAAATGCAAGATATTAATTTTTCTGGGTGTATTTAACCATCTATGCAAGTAATTACTATATAAGTCTTATCATATATTTTTAAATGGTTATTATGAGTAAAGAAATTAGTTTGCTTACTTCTAATCTATATTTTAAAATTTTAATTATTTGTTTCAAATCATATGGTAAATTAACATTAATAAAAGGTTAGTAAATGTTGAATAATTTTGTATGTTCATTAAATATAAAGATTTCCTTAAGAACTGATGACAATCTGATAATTAAACCGTTCTATATCTTTATGATAATGATAACTAATGAAATAACATTGATTAACAGAAGAGTAAAAACATGTGGTAAAGTTATTACACCAGTTATAATAAAACCAGTGAATTAAAAGAAAAAGAAAAACAAATTGAGAAAGATTTTGACGATAATAATAACAGAGATTTATCGACCATACAATTCGGCTAGTCGCCAAGACTTTCTAGAAAAGAAAGAGACAGCAGATTTTGTCTATACAGAGAGTTCTCTTAGAATAGACCACATGAGAAGAAAACTTGGAATTTTCAAAATTAATTTGATAGAGCAATCGCCACCAAAACTCTAAGCGTAGGACCACAAAAGAAGACACTTGGTTTTATAATAATAATCCAAAACATTAATCGTCACCAACTCTAAGCAAAGACCACAAAAGAAGACTCTTCCAAGCCACATGGAATTCTAATAGTCATCGAAAGATTGTTCAGATTCATTGAAAATAGTAACCAGCTGAATCATGTCTGCATGTTACCTTAACTTCCTAATTATAGTATGTTTTATTCATTTAGATCTAAAAGCATTCGACGTAATAAGTTAGGTAACGGCCAGACATGTTGATACGAAGCTAGAGAGAGAGAAAAGAAACGAACCTGCAGCTGAAGCCTGGACAACATCTTCCATGGAATCTCTGACGTGAAGCGCAAGTCTTGTACGGTAATTAGGATGATCTTCATAGAAATCGGACAACGACATATTGATAGAGGTGAGGCAGATCTTGGAAAATGTTGTTTTGAGATCAAGAACTACTCCTACTTTAATTTCACTTGTCGGGTTTTGTCCTAGACCAACTTCCATCAACACAAAACACGAAAGGTACAAGACAAAGTAACTAAGAAAGGTGTTAGTTTTTGTAGTATTCGTCATCATTTGAAAGATTGGGGAAACGAGCACCTAATGTGCATTTTAAACTTCCATTTTCTGTTATATATAGAGAGAGGGCTAAGGAACGATTCAGTTTGAAAGAGTCTTAAACTCTTTGAAGACTTTGAAATGCTATACCAAAATTGGTACTCCTAGAAGAAGTATTGGAATTAAAAAACATTAGTGTTGACTAAAAAGAATAAAAAAACAATTGTTTGAAAGAGTCAGATGAGACTTGATTGACATACAGCGATGAAATTTCTTGGCAAAACAACAAATTTTCCAAAACTTGTTTTTATATAGAAAACAATTAAAAAAAGAATATTAGTAGCCTAGTGTTCAAAAAAAAAAAAAGAATATTAGTAGCCACTTCAATCAATTAAGTGAGATACGGGGTTCTAAATACAATTTGATTCTTTTTTAGAATTTTCATTGGCACAAATTTGATGTAATAATTTGAATATTTAGATTTTAATCTCAGTTTGGCGGGATTAGCATGCAAAAAAATAAAGATATTGGAGTCAGTGTTCTTCAGTAAGTTTATATTTCCCCATTTCATTTACAAAATGGTTTAAACAATAAAAGTACGGAAATTACACATTCTATATAACGATTTTTTTGTCTTCTGTGGAAAAGCAAAAAAAAAATGAGCACCGAAAAAATCATTGTAAGAAAATTGTAACATTCTACCATATGGCTATTTATATTATAAAAATACATTTATATTTTAGATCATTGATATATAAAAACCTCCAATATAAAGTATCTTTAAATTGGAGTAATAGAATGATGGTAACATATTGAAAAGTGATTAGAACACTGTAACAAATCATTCATTATTAATGACTAGTTGCATAATCCTCGTACAAGCACATGGATTGAGACGTCTTTGATGCTTTTGTTTTTGGTATTTTTTTGTTTAGTTTTGCTGTTAAATCTTGTGTTACTGAGCATTTTATTGGTTGTCATGTGTCTATGATGATGATCGAAAGATATTGGAAATCACAATTCTTACTTAAGACAATATAAGTATTTATAGTGAACTTATATTTGAGGTTAGTTGAATATCTTATATTTATAATGATTTGATCGACCATTTACTGTAGTATTGATTTCATAATTATAGTTTACCAAACTTTTTAAGTTGTAATTATACTAATGAAACTGTGGTAGTGAAAGTGTTTTTTTCTTCCAAATTTAACAACATATATAAATAGTTAATAAGTTTTCTTTTAAAAAGTTCATGGGGTTGATTTTGTAACTAAATATTGGAATTCTTTTTTTGTTAGATAAAGTAAACTTTCTACAGATTCATATATTGAAATAGTCATATATGACAATAAAATGTAGAGCTGAGAAACTAATTTTGGGTTCTTAAATCAATTTTTTTTCTTTTTTTTGTAGTGTAAGAAATATGGCTATTTTTTCTAGATAAAGTTTCGGTTGAATCTTGTTCTCTGCATCTTTGAATTTAAAAAATAACATTTTTTCGGTTCATCATATACAATGAAACAAATGTACACACATTCTAAATTTAGTGAAAAAACTTATTTAAATGTCTTTGAAAAGACATAAACGACTCAAATGACCTCCTAAAATATTTCTTTCGTGGAAAAGAGTATAAGCGGAGAAACATAACATACCAAATGCCAGGAAATGAAAAAGTATATTACACACTGGAGTTATAGTCAACTATACAAAGTACTAAAATTTCCATAAAAGCGAAAACTATAAATAGATGAATTAAAAGGTCAATAAAAATTGTTTTTCATTGCTTTTGTTTCAGAGAATATATCGTTATTTTGTCTGCTTTGCTTTATTATTTAGCTTCGAAGATCAGTAGTTGAAACTTGAGAATAATTTCGATGACCAAAAACCCCATCTAGTATATTTCTTTTATCATAAAACAAACGATCATCAAACCAAGCATATCGAGAGGAGTCTGAGATATATATTAACTTTGAAAAAATTCAAAAGATTACATAACCTCACGCTTAACTATTTTTAACAGGTATCTAAAAACTAATGGCATCCTAAATTAAATGGCTGAAGATAATTAAAGATATATCAAATATCTTTTTTAAGATATGTCAAATATAAACCTACAATCATGACATAGATGCAAACCAAAACGCTTGTTTAGAGCTTGGGCTTTGATTCCTCCTCCCATAACCGCTTTGTAGTGACAGACTGTAGTTTGATGGTGATAGAGTCTAGGTCGATCTCCTCATTGAAGCGAAGCTTCAAACTCTATATCAGTAAAATCAACAAAATTTAGGTCAAAAATATATACCATGAATGTTGATATTGTAAGTAAATTAAGAAACAAACAAATGCAAGAGTTGTTAGCATCAGTGTTTAAGAGACCTTTGAAGAAGTATTCAGACGGGCTAGAAATGCCAATATTTCCTTGTCTTGCATGCAATCTGCCAAATCACATCAATGGGGATAAATATATGATAATACTTACTACAAATCATACGAACAAATACCATTTTTCAGTTTATTTTTTACAAACAATTACAAAAATGAAACAAGTTGAGATCCTAAATTACACGATTTCAAGCTTTGACAACAATAGAGGTGGAGGATTAAATACATAAACCTTCGACAAAACTGGAATCGTGAATATTGGGCTTACGTATCAAACAGAGCCGTACTACCCAAACATCTAAGATGAAAATCATCAAACGTGTCGTCGTGAACCAAGGCTGGGGAAGCGAGAGCATTGCCGGCGGCAGACGCTGTTGGAATAACTTACAGAGAGGAGAAAGGCAAAATAAGGGTATGAGATGTAGGTTTCGGTGCTGACGCCTCTACTATTTATAGTCGTCTCCCTTTTTGATTACGAAATACTTGAGTTGTTGAAGTTATGGAGAAATTAATAATGGAAAGGGGAATGAAATAATTGAATCTTATTGAAAGGACGCAGGAGGCTTGACGAAAGAAGAGGAAGAGCCATCAGATAACAAAAATTCGTGACGAATACGCCTACTCAGTACCAGGCCAAATGCAAAGTCCACGAAGACATAAATCAGAAGTCGGCCATAAGTTTGTTCCCGGGCCAAATATGACGAGGCCTAATTAGAAATAGTACAAAGAGCAAATGTTGAAGCCCATTCATTAAAAAAAGGAGAAATCTATATTATAATATGACACTTTCTAGACCCATATAAAACATTACCCAACAAATGAACGCTTTAAAAAACATGAGAGCTATGGAATTTGAACCCATACAATTGCGGAGCGAACATGTAGTTTGGCAGCTTAGACCACTCGGCCATATTCTCATTCATTGTCAAAAGACATTGTGGCAAAATTTTATACTTTTAAAATATGTGTGGGGCCCATAAAATGTTGACGTGGCGCACTGAGAAGCCTAGAAATTGTTCTATTGTAATATAGACTAAGATGAAACATGCGCGCATGCATGGGTGAGTTTATTATATTAATTTTTGTTCGATTTTATCATTTTGAAACACCATAATTTGTATCAGTTGTAAAATGACGAATACAAATGTTGGTGTCTTAAATATATCACATGCTTGGACGTTCAGGGTCTGTCTGTTTCGGTTCGATTTATTCAGATTTTCTAATTTTTGGTATTATACTCTTCAGTCCAATTCATTTTACTAATATCGGATCATATTCGGTTCAGCTCCTTCGGAATTCGGGTTTGGATCAGAATAAACCAAAATCTGAAATTGACCCAAAAAATAGTTTTGAAACCTCAAAATTGATAAAAAAATGTCAAAAGATTTACATTATTCGTAAATCTAATTTAAAATTAGTGAATCTATCTAAACTAACTAAAGGATATTCAAAATAAAAAATAAAACAAATTACAAAAATATTTCGAATACAATAAAATATATAAATTACCTTGATATATAAAAAAACATTAACATATTATGCTAATTTCAGATATCTTCGGATCTAGTTTGAATTTCTGTTCGGTTCGGATTATAATTAAATCTCAAACTATTAAGATCATAAGTCTTGTTCGAATAAATTATAATAGTTATATTGGATATTATGGAGAAACACATATTAGACGAATGATCAAATCTCACATTCTTCCAAAAAAAAACTCAAAAGGATGATTGGAATCTTATCATGATATTCCATTAAAAGTTCTTTAAGAATAAATATCAAAATTAAATTATTTAATTAGAATGAAATAATATATATATATATATATATATATATATATATATATATATATATAAAGTGCTTCCAATATTAAAAATTGATTCGATTTGAAGAAGTATAATTCTCGAATTTTTAGGATCAAATAACATATTAGAAACTACCTATTTAAAAATTAATTTGTATACATAAAATTATATACATTAGAGTAAGCACATAAATCAAAACTAATACCTTTTGTTAATTTATAATCATGTTTTTGGTAAATAAATCAAAACAACCATTTTATTTACTTATAAGATATATAACTAAACGTTATTGATATTGACATATATATATATATATGTAAATATGTAGTATATTTTAAAATTATATACATTAGAGTAAGCACATAAATCAAAACTAATACCTTTTGTTAATTTATAATCATGTTTTTGGTAAATAGATCAAAACAACCATTTTTTTTACTTATAAGATATATAACTAAACGTTATTGATATTGACATATATATATTTTTGATACTTTCTACTCATATGATATATATAACTAAACATTATTTATTTTTGATAGTTTCTACTCATATGATTTTATTAATATTTGTATATTTTTCGCTAACAATTTTTTTAATAAAACACAAACATTTTAGTGTGAGATTGTTCCAATACGAATTTCAAAATAAAAATATTAAGATCGCAATAATTTTCACTGGAAGTTTTTAAATTAACATATTTATATAGTTAATATAATATATAAATATAGTATGAATATCTATTAAAGATACTTCATATTCATACGATTTATAATCATTTGTATCTTACTTGAACAAACAAAAAAAGTTA